AAATGAATAATCCTTTTTTAATCCTTATTAATGTCTGACATATAACAGTGTGAACGATATTGCTTCTTTAATGAATCTGTCTCAAATAAATATAAATAATACTTTATTCATGTTATTACTGATTGAGTTATATTCCAATATAATTAATATAAAGGTTCTGATGAGATTGTTTTAAAAACATTCAATGATGAAATAAATATGTACTAATGCAAAAACCACACAAGAAGCAGTATACATTATATTATGTAAGATGAAATGATGTGAATAGTTATATAAAAAGTAATTGCAGATTACTTAGAGATTCTCTCATTTACACTGTAATCCTACTTAATTTAGATTATGTAATTATTTGTTCATTTAATCTTGTTAATAATACTTCACCTTACTTTATGCAAAATTTGTAGATAAAGATATATGGAATAATTATTGGCAAACCTGTTGTAAGTGCTGGTGTCCACTCCTGCTCACCAGTGGCACCCCATAAAAGTGTTAAGCTCTTATTAGTTCCAGATGAATTAGTATTTGAAACTTTATCTCCGCCTATCAGATTTATTCGTTGAAACTTTCCTTTTGTATCTATAATAAAAAATATATATTGTGCAATTAAAAATTAGATATAAATATTCTATTTAGCATTGAGTACTAACGATCTTGAAATCCAATTTGAGATGCTGATCTTGATATATGATGTGGATTGCTAGTAGTTGTAATTTGATCCATAGGAGATCCACTCAACGTTGAAGTAGTATCACTCTGGGGTTCAGGATGCGACTGAGTTGGAACAGCTTGATAATGATGTTGTTGTATCAAAACACCCGATGGACCTAAAATTATTACTACTGTAAAATATGATACAAGGATCTGACAATTATAATTACCTTTAGGAAAAATATGACTCCATCTGCGTCTATTGCTAGTTAGTTTTATAGTAACGTGTGAAGGATCAAAAGGATTGATAAGTGCTCTGCTAGGTCTGACTATATTTGTAGGCTGAGAAATTGAATTAGTAGGACTACCAGCACTTCCAACAACTGGTCTGAATGGTGGTGATATTTCAGAATCAGTTATATCACTTTTGATAGATGTTCTTGATACTATAAAAATAACAAATTTAAAATATATAACATTTCATTTTTATTACTGGAAATATTTGAATCAATATAATTATTGTATACATACCATTTGCTTCCTCATTAGAACCGTTATTCTCAACACTTTCTGCCCTATGAGGTATAGAGATTGCAGCACTTCTTGCTGCTGCTGGTATTAATGCATGTGTTTCAGGTGGTGGATGATGAATATCAGGATCTGACATTTTACGTTTTAAAAGCTTTAATATATGAGCATTGTTATGAGTCTCAATGCAGGCCACACTTGTTTTTTTAGTTCTCGTAGTAACTCTTTGCAAACTACTTTAATTAAAACTTGAAATTACATATATTATAAAACAAATTAAAATGATATGTCAATAATGGTATATAATACCTTGAAGTATGAACATGAGGCAATTGAAAAACTTGAGCGTCATAAGCGTCATAATCAAATAAAGAATTATGCAAGCATTCCCTAGGATCTTCTTGTAAAAGTTTGGTTTTACAATTTAATTTGCCATTATCCGTAGAATGTTTAGACACTTTTTGAGGCAATTTAATGCGTGGTATAAAAGTAGAATAAGGTATTTTTTTATTCGTCGAATAAAAACTAAGATTAATCCAATGAGGCATACTGTAGTCATCTGGTGCATTTATAGATGTATCCTTATTATGAAACTAAAATAATATGTTTCTCATAATAATATATTCCTTTTTTAATCAATAAATATAATGAATACTACAATTTAAAAAACCAGCAAAAGAATATGTAAATTTAAAAAGTCAAAGCATTACTATATATACTACAACATAATCATCATAGTCGCGAAATATAAATAAATAGAAAATGTATTACCTTTAATAAAGGAACTGCATGCAATGGTTGTTCTCCAACACAAACTAAATCGCTATTTACTCCATTGTCAATAACTCTTTGTTTAGTAACATTCGTCAATTCTCGGTCAACTTCAAATACACCTACACCTGGAGTTATTACAACTGACAATTGACCTGTTCTATCAAAGCTACGGTCAAGATAATGTTTTTCAAAAACTGCAAACAAAATATAAATTAATATAAAATATAAATACTTTGTTCACACACACACACACACACACACATATATAATTACTGATTATTACCATTTAATGACATGTTCAAGACTTCTAAAAAATTGCCTTGCGCTGCCGTAGAGTTAACTGCTTTAGGCATAATAATATCTGGCCTTTGATGATACTCCAAAACAATTTTTTGATAATCAGTAAACAATTTACGTAATTGCACCAATACATTACTCCAATCTTCGTATCTTTCATTCTGTACTGCTACTCTATAAAAATCTTCATAGAATCTACCTCTATAATCATGTTGTAAGCAATCTCTCATATGATTTGGAAACTCTTCTAAACTCGTGGCATTATAAAATGTTCTTGAAAACAAAACTATTGTTACTTCATGATTACTACCATTCTTTTTCCATTTTTGAAACAGATCTGCTAAAAATCCATTAACTGCTTTTTCGAAATAAAGATCGCCATGAATATCAAAATCCCACATTTCTGAACTCATTTGGATAAAAAGGTAAACCATACTTGTAGAAGAACGAAAGACTACCTAAATCATATAATAAAAAAACAAAGTCAATGTATAATTTAATTCTATAATCTATATATATAATAATAAAAGTAAAATCCTTTCTATACCTTAGTATCATCAGTGATAACACCACAAGCAACTCTATCGCCTTGAGACCACATTTCGTAAACTTGACAACGAATACTACCTCCACAAAATTCTATCTTCTTATTCATATAAACGCAGGTATTAACCTAATTAAACAAATACATAACAAATAAAGGTAATAAATTCCAATAGCTGAAACATAATAATAACAAGTAAAAATTGAAATATACCAAGCTATTTTTTAATCTCCACATTTCACTGCGTCCCATATATTGATCTTTGAATGTTAGCTCAACTGAGTCTAATGCTACATCTTCTGGATTAACAATATTCATATAAACATCAGCAAAAGTTCTTAATTGAAACATAGTTGCTACATTATTTTCAACACTAATTGTTTCACGTCCTTGAAGATCTTCTTTAAAGGATGTAACTTGTAGAAGTAAGCGGCTGAACTCATCTTCTGGATGATAAATTTCAACAACATCACCGGTCTTAATTCCTGGATAATCTTTGGGATTAATTATTAAATCTTCACCACTAAAGTTTTTTTGATGTACAATTAATTTAAATAACTTCATTTTTAACCCATCACTTTAATGGTCAGCTGTGGTCTTACACTATTATACCTACGTATAGCATCTAGGTAATCTGATATATATACTGTTTTAAATCCTTGTGAACAAGGAAATGTTCTACATTTGTCACTAGGTATCGCTTCAATCGTCGTTAATTTTAGCTCGAGATGTTGGTTTTCTTTGAAATATGTTGGTAACATGTTGGCAACTCTGACAATTTGATAGACATTTTGCCATGATTTGTAAACAACATCGTTTGTTTGGTAACGAAGATCATTCAAAATTGAGTCATGCGTTTGAGATTAGCCCCTTGAAAGATATATCTTCGTTTATTTATATTAAGAGAAATCAACTAGCATCAATAATACTATTTTTGTTTAAATTCAAGAGTCGTCATGTGAATTATACTTTGTAGTATTTATTGGAAAATTACCAATAATCAGAATAATAAATCAATGAACGTTTTCTATTATTTAAAGGATTTTTGTTTAAAATGGCTACATTAAAAGGTGTTTTTCCTAACCTACGTAAGTATCAGATGATATTTTTTTTAACATATAAAATAACACACACACACACACAAACCCTCCCCATTTATGTTATGTGTAAATATTGTTTATTATTTAGCAACGAGCAGAAAGAAAAATTTTATACAAGAAAATGTGAAAAATTTACGACGAATGGAGCAGTGCTTTCATTCCAATAGAGAAAGCCACGAATTAGACAAATTTCAGATAAATAGACATAGACAAAAAATAAATAAATATTCCAACATCAGTGCTAAAGTGAATACTAGTTTCCATGGAAATTTACAGAGTAATCATATGGAAAATCTAATGGCTAGTAAACAAACAGAAATTATAAAGAAAGAACCCATCCGAAAGATTAGTACTCCTATACTTAATAAAAAGAATTCTGTGCCTACAAAAAAACCACTAAACTCATTAACAAATAAGTTGGCAAACAAGCAAACGAAAAAGGAAAGTTTAAATAGTAAAAATGTCCAGGGGCCTAAAATAAAAGTTATGTCTGATCCAAATTTTGTCCAGAAATCTCAAGATGATGAAAATAGCTCTCCTTTGCCTGCAAATACCAAATACAAACATAAAGGTATTCAAACATTGGAAGAAAAACAGATTGATCAACTGTATATAGAAGGTGTTATCAGGTAACTTAAATTTCAAATATACATGTACACATTTATAGCTAAAAGATATAAACTTAAATAAATTACAGATATCCTACTAAGAAAAATGTCGAGAATAACGAAGAAAAGAATAAAAATGAATCTGATCAATTATTGAATCTAGAACTAGAAAACGTGCATGCATTTACCAGTACAGAATTACACGATTCGAAAACCTCAGAGTTATCAGTAATCAATCAAAAAACTGATTTAGTAAAGCCAAGTAAAAATCGTAATACTGTTGCTAGTAAAATAGCTGCACAATTGAATAATGGTGTAGTTCCTACCAATTATCGCAAGGGAGTTGTCCCCAAGTATGATGTTAAAAGTAACTTCCCAGAAGTTTTATTTCTATCTTTTATTTTTGTTCGTACATTTTATTTCTTTCTTTAAATGATACAGTAATATACGTATATATATCTAGCGTATATAATTGTTCAAATCAATCCATTTTTCTAACAGATATATTAAGGATCGAAAAGAAGCTCTACAAAAAGAAGAAGAAGCTAAAGCAGCTGCATTCCACCCTGACTGTCCAGAAGGTCATGTCCCCTTACCGGACCACGAGCGTCAGGAGACACTGCGAGTGCTGAAAAAAAGTATATTTCCTAAATCAACTACGCTATATGAGGCATTTAAAACAAGTCATCTGTGTATGTTTTCATAGCTTTGAAGATGGAATCAAATGTTTTAAGTAATCATTTGTTCATATTAAAATTTCTTATCACATATTAGCCTCTGTAATAATTAATAATTTGTACTTGAAATATTTCTTCTATCTTCAAAGCTTTAAAAAATATATTCAGATGGACTGATGTAAATACTTCATTAGATATATCTAGAAATAAAATATTTCGTACGAAACTTTTGGAAATAATTATTACAGATTATCAAGACTACGTTAACGAATTAAATATGATGCCCATAAAAACAGATACACTCAGAGCGCAAAGAAGAAAAATGGAAATTGAAAAGCAGTTGAATAAATTAGAGGAAGGTATTAAAGTATTTTCAAGGCCTAAAGTTTATGTGAAAATAAATGCCTAAACGTTAGATTTGTAGCAAATTAAAACAAAAATCAAAGTACAAACAGGGAAGCATTTTGAACAAAATATATAAATAAAATGTTATATATTATGTCACAATTAATAATATTCGTGTAGTTGGCTATAAATGTCAATTGTTGTTTCATAAATCAACAATTAACTTGTACATACATTTAAGATGAAAATTATCTAGTCTTAATTATTTATAATTAGCATATAAATTGCAACTTCAAATGACAATGAAATATATATATATATATATATATAAATATTATATGTATTTTTTCAACAGCAAAAATATATATATATACTTATGTTTTAACGTAATAGAACAAATCTATTCTAATTTATTAGACTCCGTTAAATGTTTTATTTATAAATTCAAGACTAGATTTTATTTAAAACGAGTCACTTGCTAACAAGCTATTCTCCATATCTCTTTTCATATTATCCTTTAGTAGGAGCCAAGAAACTTTTGTCAATAATATGTATAAAAGATATTGGATCAAATTGCAGTTTATCTAAATGATAAAATATTTCTTCTCTTTCGTACCATCGTTTAATGTCAAAGTCATTAAAAAATATTGATATTTCTCGTTTCACAGATTCTGGAGAATCTATAATAAGAACAAATTAATTATCCTTCTTTAGATCCAGTAAATATGTAGAGTTGTTACTTTGAGCATATCTTACCCGAGCCATGAGTTGCATTTCTAGTATCTGAGAGACCGAACATACCTCGAATACTATTTGGTTCTATGTATTGCGCTTGATAGGTTTTAGTAGGGCCCATTAATTTTCTCCATCGTAAAATAGCATCATGGCCAGCTAAGATATGAATATCTGATGGGCCACTGCACATAAAAGTTAACAAACGATTGTAAAAGAACTTATCTTTGTGATCTGAATAAAATAATGCTGCTTCATCGGATGTCAATGTGGTTCTGCGCGTTCTAACAACTTTGAAATTATTTTCGATTATCAAATCACGAATTTTCTGAAAAGATGCAAGTACTTTTAAATACATTTATCATTTACACACACATAATCTGTATATATATATATATCATAGTTGAATGATAAAGGTAAACATTGAATGCCTAGGTTAACATTTTACCTGAAGCACGAAAGGGGTTTTAACAACATGTGGTTTAAGTATAGCTAATGTTAATTCAAGAGATTTTCTTGATTGCATTTCATTATCATTTAAGTATTACTGATTGTAAAAGTCACGATTGATATTTTATGTATACTTGGTTATTAATGTTTATATAAATAATAATCACGACTCCATATTCAATTATGAAGAAATTTCTTAATATATCCAGCAGATGGCATACACATCATGGCGCTATTTATTTAATTTAATTCAATTAAAAATATAAATATGTGCATATCAGCAAAAAATAAAATATAATACGACTATTGAAGATATCGAGTTAAATTAAAAAAGTCAATATTGTATCCAATCTCTTTTGGTAACATAATATTTATATATAAATAATGGACTATATGTATTATATTTTTAATAATTGCTAACATAATTCGAATAATAATGCGATAAAATTGTATATGGATTAATATTTAATTAAATAACAACTTATTCATTCATGGCAAATAGCAATTTATTTAATATTCTTATTCCGGCCTATCAATAGACACCAGTTGACTTTACATAGTAATAAACAATTTTCGTAAACTATCTTAACATATAGGAAAACATATGCATTAAAATACGATACATTTCTGCTACGTTTAAAAAGCAGAATTCTCATTCTCTATCACGAATAATTAAAAAACATTATACCCATGAATAGAGAACTATCTATAGCTCATTAGCTTATCCGTAGTTTCGAAGTTCTGTAGTTTTAATATTACTACTTTTTTATGTTTAGAAAAATATTAATTCTTTAATTAAAATATCGTAATTTTAAACACATATGAATAGTATTTTAACATTTTTCCTATATGACAAAATAAAATTCATAGAAGGAAAGGTTTTGTTCCTACCGGCACGAAATTAACTGGTACACCATTATTGACTTCCGGTAATATTCTCATTACAAGTCCATTGACGCTCAAAACTATCATATTGGAAATACCCAAAGACTATTATTCGATTCATTAGATACCATTATTAATATCTAAAATCTGAGGAGTTTCCATAGTAGTTGAAGCTGAAACGACTGGAGCAGACATAATGGAAGAAGAATTGGAATAAACTGTCTGCCATGCAGTCGCTAAGAACCCTTTTTCGGCGTCAGTATTTTTCTTGAAATTATGTACAGAGTAGCGATTATATAAACCCCAAATGCTGTTCATCAGTTTGCTGTTATATTTCAAGGGTGTGAGTTCCAAACCTAGAATTAGTATCAATCCAAAAAAGAAGTTTAGTCTCCATTAATTAAATTATTTAAGGCCATACAATTTTCCTTTCAAATATTCCATTTATTTTTCATGTATATTTATATATTTTTAAAAATTTTAATTCATTATTTATCATGAGTTGCATATTTAAAAAATTTACATTGATAATAAATATTTTTGAAGACTTTAGTGATACACTAGAAATCGTAATATAATAACAAAGTAATCGTAATGAAATAAAATAACACAATAAATTTGGTATGATTTATTAATAAAATGATATATTTAAATTTGAATTACCTTCTGGGTAGAATCTACCATTAAATGTATTTTCTTTGTTTGCTTTCTCTTTTCCTTCTATCGCTGATATCATATTATTATCATCATGTTGTTCATTGCATCGGACTTTGCACGCTGCAAACGCTGCTTGTGGTACCGCAGCCATTTTCCCACAATCTAGAAGAGAAGGGAGTAAATACTTATCAACAAATTTTATTAGAAACTTTTAATTATAATTTTTGATATTTATTTTCAATATAAATGCAAGTGTTTCAAATTTAATGCTATTGGGATAACGATATCGATCGATATATGCGAATATCCATTGTTATATTCTTTAAATATTAACGTGAATAAAAATCAAAGAATTAATAATGAAAATATAAGAAAATTTTCTACAACGAGTATTATTCACCTATTTTTCATTTATTAATCGATAATAAATGTTTACTTATGCAATGAAATGTCTCATTATGCTACGTAGGAAACTTCATTCCTATGAACATATTCCATCATTATTCAATAAGTACAGAAAACTTCTTTTACTTCGTAAAAAAAAATAAATAACATCGAAAATGATGAAAACAAAACACTAACCTTCGCAACTTTCGAAAAGCAGTTTAAATAGATTTTCCAAAAACGTCGTATGTACGTATTCAGCAATTTTGTTTGATCTAATAGAAGCTTGGTTTTGAAATACTTCCACGGATTCCTGATTTGGATGTTTCTCAATGATTGTAATGTTCATATAGGCACAATTAGATTCCTTTGTAGTGATCATCGACTGGTAAACATAAATATCGTATAATATAAAATATAAAGATAAATAAATGTACCCACCCCTGTATGGTACAAATAATTTTTAAATATTTATTCTATCGGCACTAAAAGTAACAAGGAGAATAAAAAAGAGATCAAATATTTTCAATGCGACGAATTCATCCCGAGAGACGAACATGTACTAAACCACATATGAACTTTTAGTATGATTTATACATTTATCTATTTGGCCGACGAGAAGGAGTTGTTGCGAGCGAGTTCAAAAGATAAAGAGCAAAACTTTGTTATCCATGTCTCTCAGAACGGAATATCGTTGGCCTTCGAAATCTTTGCTAGTGGTGTTGATCAACGACCACCACATATTAAAAACATTATCATTTATGACACGTATAAACGTTTTATGAATACTGCGATCTTTTGTAGTGCTTACATGCAGTGTATGGCTTTTTAATAAAGATTGCATTCACAAATAATAATAATAATAAAATAATAATAATAATAATAATAATAATAATTTTCTTTTACTTTATAATGTGATCGAGATAAGTACGAGTATATTATATAATTAGAATTTTTAAAAAAGCTATCAAGTGTTTCATAACAGAGGTGCTACCACACAAGTAGAGAAGTCTTGCGAAAATTATCAATATCGTGACTTAACTTTTGCTCTAATGTATCGTCATCATTAAATGCGTCAACAATTTTAACGAGTGTTAGAGACTCGTTACGTTTTATATTTTGACAATTTAAACTTCCGCCGAAATATTGACTAACTTGCTCACATGATGAGCGTACATTTATTTCATCTTATATCATCGAACATATTATTGTTTAATGTTAAAGATAAATGAAGATTATTCCGGTTCTTTTTCTTAAGTATCGTCATTTGGATTTCAGTTAAAAATAATAAAAATTCAAAAACAACGCCAGATAATGTTCTTACGTAATCACAGCTGTATATTAGACTAATTTTAAATTCCAATTAATTTAACGAATATCAATGACATAACAAGGGAAAATTACGGTATATGTATAACTCTGACGGGTTTTGAAAAAAGATGCGTTAGGATTAAATAATTTAGAAAACAAATTATCGGTCACGTTGTTGCATAAATTACCGTATACAACCCAATTGATATAGGTATGAAGAATATGCTGTGATGTTATAATAAATAAATCTAATAAAATAAAAAACATATGCACAAATGTATAATAAAATTATTAGTCTTCTTTTCGAATAATAAAATGTATTAAATTAAACTAGAACTTACTTAATGATTAGAGATACAAACAAAATTTTAGTTGACTTCGATGTTCTTCGTATCTCTCATGGAAGATTTTTATTCATCGAATGAGGGTGGATGTACAGAAATCTCGGACTCCTTTGTTTCATACTCAAATGTTCGCAAAAACAGCATAGACAAACGTTCATAAATGTATTTTTTAATTATACTCATCATACGTCAAATTTTTGGATTGCATGCGCTTTTTTTTTTATCATTACAAAGGTTCAATTTGCTACTCGCATCTCTGCCAGTTATAAACGCATAATAATTATATCAGAGTGATACCCGATCAGACCAGCTGGAAACGAGTTTTGACATATACTTGACATCTCTAAAATATATATATATATATATATATATATATATATATATAATAAGTGTATATATATATATAATAAGTGTAAATATATATATATGCGTGTGTGTGTATATGTGTATATATATATATCTCCTAAGTGCTTGTATATGCTACGTCACATCGCGAAATTAAGACGGGGCGTTAAGTACGTACATACTTGTTTTTTCTTCTTTCTTTCTTTCTTTCTTTCTTTTTTAATTGTTTAATTTATATAACAATCAATGTGTGATCTTCGAAATATCCTTACGCAGTGCCTTATATAATACAAAATCTATTTGGTTTTTAACCATAGATCTCACGAACGTCACTTCAAAGCGATATATCATCATACGTACTTCTACATACACTCATACATACACGCGCGCTCATGAACGCACACACCACACACAGATATATATATATATATATATATATATATATGTATATGTATGATTTGCTTCGGACATGCAGATGCATCTACCCAGTCGCAAGATCGAATAAACGATTTAATGAAAAAGTAAGAAACGATGTTAATCCTTTCTCTTAATCGATATAATTCGTTTAGGGATAATAATCGATAAAAATAATTTTTTGAGAAATTGGAACAGAAGTTAAAAATGCTTAACACTTTACAAAGACGAGTTTTAAAAAAAGTCAATTATTATTATTATCATTATTATTATTATTATTTTCTTCTTTTTTTTTGTTTTCTTTTTTTTCGCTTCGGCCGGTTTCGCTTTTTATTCTTTACAGTTTTTACTATGCTTTTCTTTTCTTTTCTTTTCTTTTCTTTTCTTTTTTATATCCAATACCCTGTGTTACGCCCCAACTTTCGATCAGAAGAATTTTTCTACGTTTGATCTTCCCACGCAATCGCATCGCAATAAATTTTCTTCTCTTTTTTCATTTCTTTCTTTCTTTCTTTTTTTTTTTGGAAAGGAGAAAAGGGAACACAAAGAGCTCACTTTCATACACGTTTCTCTTCGCGAGTCAGCATTTCCCGAGGGAATTTATTCTCCTTAGTGAGATAAACATCGGATAAATATATCCATTGGTTTGCACATAGAATAACAATTATGCGACGTCTCTTATTTTTTTTTGTTTTTTTTTTTTTCTTTTTCTATTAATTCTTTTACTGCAAAGTTTTTTCTCGCACCTCACTTTCTTATTATTTTCTTTCTTCCCTTTTACTTATTTTTTCTTTTTTATTTTATCCTCTCTTCATCTTTTCATAATTCACTTTTGCAGCATCGTTGCGTCATAAATAGAACACAAGGTAACCATTCCTCAATATATCGTATCGATATTATATACGTGTTACCCTCTTTAGACGCGTTTTATGCGGCGCACGATGTTTTTCCTTAGGACTATCATTTTATTCGTATTATATATATATATTTTTTTTTATTTATTTACTTATTTATTTGGTTATTCCAAGTCCTTTAAACGTTTATTGTATCTTAACACTTTTTTGTTCGCGTTTAATTATTACTTTGGTATTGTGCAAGTTAATAAAAAAAAATAAAATTCTCTTCCCTCTTCTTCAACAAAAAAGAAAAATTAATCAAAAACTTAAATGAATCTGAATCAATCGTTATTAAGAATTTTTGTAATATAATGATAATGGGAAAGATCTTGAGAAAGATTCATAAATTATCTCTCTATCGTTATCGAAAAGTCAACGCGTTTATTTACGAAGTTTTTTTATGTTATTTTTTTATCTTTTTTTTTTTTAAAAAAGAGGGGAGAAAGATATATTCAATTAGTACATAGATACAATATTACTATTTTTTTAAAAGAATAGCGTGAGTACGCGCGCGCGATTCCATATATTTATCTATATTATTTATATACGTATGTATGTTGTATATATATATATTTATAGTTACTTTTATAAAAAAGTATATATATATATATATATATATATATATATATTTTTTAGTACATCTAATAGAATTTTACCACGCAACGTACACACGCACGTACCTACCACCCCACCAACGTAATGTTATACTCAAAATTTGAGTAAATTACGTTATTCGCAAGAGAAACAGCGACGAAGACACGACAGACTAAAATAATCGTAAGTTTTGATCATTTTGTTTTCCATAGATACATCATCTTTTGATCCAATATGTGAAAGAAGAAAAATTCACTTTTGTTTTTTTTTTGTATTTTTTTTTTAAATACGTTTTCAACGTTATTATATGTATATACATAAACTTTGTAACTAACAATAAAACAAGATTCTCAATTGTATGCAAAAGTGAACTCGTATTTAGTTTTCTTCCTTTCTTTTTGGTTGTCATCGCTTAACGTTTCATTTTCTTTTTTATCCACGACAAATTTGCACAGAGGTATATGACAAAATTCCAATTTGTTATTTATCGTTGCAAAAGATGCGCTTGGTCGTTATTAGTATAATAATTATACGCTCCGCACTCTCGAGTGGAACCAGCGAAATAGAGAAAATGACGATCCTAGTTATTTGTTTTTAAAGCTCGAATAAAATTGTATTATAATAAAAATAATACCGACGAGGTTTACAATCGTTAATATTACTAAATCGATAACAAAAAGAACAGTATTATTTCACGATTGGATAAAGATCAAACGCAAGTTAAGTCCTTTAATGAATTATTTTCAATTTATGCACTGCAGCAAGCAAGCCGGGAGAACAAACGATGATGTTTGTTATGTGCGTAAAAATGAAGTTATTTAAATACAAGTCGATCGTCGTACATTTATATACAGAGGGCAACACGCAACATATATATATAGGACAAATGAGATTATTTAGATACACGTAGTACTCAGAAATTCGGCTTTGATTCGGCATTGACACTTAATTTATCGAATATAATCTGACACAAATATGAGAGATAGCTTATACTCATTATACTCGGTGCATAAATTATCTTATCTTTTTTTTTTCTCTTTTTCTTTTCTTTTCTTTTCTTTTTTAATCTTTTCCCTCTTTTAATTATCATCTTTCTATCATCTACTTTCTTTTCTTTAATCTTTTTATTTTTATTTTTAAATTTTTGTTTTCTTCTTTTTTTTCCGTGTGTTACTCTATTCAATAATAAAGGAATTTTTTTTTTCTAAGTTATTTTTAAGATCCTTCAATTGCGAAAAGAATCTTTCATTTAATATCGAATTAATTCATCTGAATTCATAAATTTAACGAATTTAAAAAAAAAATTAGAAAAAAACGAAAAATTAAAACAATAGATTACAAGAAACAAATTACTTCATATTTCATCCAAAAAATAATATCACAGTTTAAAAATACAAAGAACGCGGAAGACTACGAAAGATTGTTAAGAATAAACAAAAAACAGATAATGCAATGCACTGAATACTGTGAAATATCACAAACATAAAAAGAATGGCATTTTTACAGGGACCATACATTGTAATTGTGAATAATACGAACATTTTATCTGTCGCCATAGAATATGAACAAGTGTATCTATGTACCGAAAGCGGTTTCGTAATACAACGCCATTTCTTTCGCTCTAAAATAGATTATGCTGATTGGTCTATTTTATTTTATATTTTTGTCTTCCTTATTTTCTTTTATCTCTTTTTTATTTGTGATATAAGTGATATTATTTAGAAAATAATGGCATAATTCTATTTCAGTCGTGTAATGATCGTATATAATTAATGGTAATAAAAACCATTTTCCACGGATCTAATAATCGTCGCTAAAATTGCAACACCTAATTGTGTCGAACGTCTAGTACATTAATTCGTAGGGCGATCAAATTCATTTCTTGGTACAAGAATGTCAGATATAAACGTTATATAATTAAATATTTCCGCATGAGATAAAAATATTTGGAAAAATGTTACTTTTTTCCTTATTAATTCTTCATTAAATCTTGTAAAGACGCAATATATATATGGATGATATATTTCCGATTAGAACACACAATTTTATTAAATGAAATTCAACCGATTTGCCGGTTCTCGCTTGATAATTTTTTAATCGTGACTTTGATTATGACGATCATGTCTCCTTGAGGTCTTCTCGTTTTATTTTCATTTTCAATATATCCTATAATATTGAATATAAGCAAGCTGATCTTCCATTGGCATCGATAAATTTAATGATTGTTTGTTTTTTATAATTTTGCAAACTCGTTGATTCAATTCGTTTGTCGAAAAAAAAAAACAAACAATGAATTTCATACCAATGGAAAATAATCAAAACTAATTCGTAATATTGTCGTAATATGCCTATACCCCGCTTTGTAATTTTTTGTTTCGTTTTTTGGTAAATTCATGTTTATATAATCCATTTATATTAACCAATGAAATAGACATTTTACTATATGTATGTAAAGAGAATATCTATGCGAGAATAGTGCAATAAATATTATCGATCGCATCTTCTATCAATTCTAAACTGACTGTTTATCGACATATGCCGTCTATGATAAGTTTGCAAATAATTGTGCGCTGCTATATATTCTTCGATACTTAGTTGCTTGTTAAGAAAAAAATTAAAAACAATCGCGTTATAAAATTAGGAACATAGAAACTGCTTTGAAATCTATTCTCGATATTTGCATTAAATATGACTTAGAATTCGGTACAAAAGCAGCGAGACGAGATATTCTGCAAAGTGCATCTGCAACATTCGATAATATAGTAATTATAACAATAACACTTCACTGTCTTCGACATAATAAATATACAATGAACAATGGTTTGAGTTAGCACTCTCGAATCTACTATTCAATGGAAGAAACAAGAATGGAACTCTCTATTATCTTTAATATAAACAATCATTTCTCTCTCCTCCAACTGTGTTGTAACATTAAAATAATACAGGGTTACATACAATGCTAAAAATAAAAAACGAAACAATAATGATTAACAATTATCAAAATGACATTATACCCACGACTGAACAAACGCCGTTTTTGTTATCTTCCTTTCTTCTACTAACTTCATTTATATTTAATAAACGTGGCATCAAAGACACAATCTATTTTTTTTCCTCATGCCGAGTCAATTAGTTATTTGTACATTTTCATGCATTTTCTAATGCATCTTCGATCTCCTTTATTTATTTCTTTTTCGTACTTTCCATGAATAGTAATCATAGCAGATAGGTACGTACTATAATCTGAATTTTATACTTTGTCGCAGTATGTCAATTGTTTAATACACAAAAATTAAAAAACAACAAAAAATGTATATATCCCCAAACAAAACGTATAAAAAGATGCCATCGGCGTCATTTTCTTCTACGACGGAATAGTTTGGCCAATACCTAACACCGAAAAGAACACAATTAAATTGTTCTCTAACGCTCCGATTTACGGTGGTACTTAAAAGCGTGAGTAAGCAGCTTTTATAAGAGCATTTATTTCAAATAAGAGATACGCGCCTGCAAAAGTAGCCGAAGGCATAGAACGAGCATTTGGGTAGTGTGTGTAATTTGTCAAAAGAATTCAGATCGATCTATTATAAATTAATATAAAAGAAACAATACATTATATATATTAATCTCGTAATAGATGTAGAAATTAATTCGGTGCCCTTTAAGAATAAATTTAGTATTTATTTATGGCATCGAATTAATTTCTACACTTAATATTACGACTCCGAGTATTTCTTATAATTTGCAAACAAATAACGCTTTAATGGGGTAACGTTCTACATGTTATGTCAATTATACACATTGCCTTCTCTCTGTCTCCCTCTCTTTCTCTCTTTCATAAATAGATCTCAATCCCCCCATGCGAGTGAATACATGGCGAAATATTTAATACTTTTTGATCTAATACAGTCTTGGAGAGTTATTATAATACCGTGATGTATGTATATATACGAAGAATCAAGGATCTTTTATATTTGTTTAGTGTGTCACAGGTATAAACTTGATAACTATTAATGACGAATCTTACCAGCTGACATTAGACAGTCATACGAAAGTCGGACTCGAGACGATACTTGAAACACGCGGATGAGATTCAGAAATAGGTGGTTGTATAAGTTTGTGCTCTGTTATACATTACTGTACGAAACTGTGCTTTCGGTACAGCAGCGCGACGTCTACTAATTCGTAATAGTTCATCGAATATCGGAAATGTTGGTTTTGCTGCCAAATATTTTCACCAGTTGATCCTCGTAATCATCTATGTTACGTTTCATCAATTCCATACAAGGGCCCAATAAACGTTCGAATGCTTCAACATCCAAAACTGAAAATCAAAAATCATCGATCTGTAATTTTGTTCAGAATATCAAGATTTTCTTATTTCTTTGATCGAATTAATTAAAATGCAATTTCATTTGTCCAATAGTAAAACAAAAATGAAAGAAAGAAAATATTCTGCAGGATACTTACAGGCCAATTTTACATCTCCTACGGCATAGGCCGAAGCTGCGCGAGGCTTGTGCGTCACCAATGCTAATTCACCTAAATATCCTCCAGCTGGAACTCGATTAATCTAATAAAACAAAATTATTCGAAATATATCGTAAAAGATAGAATTTTCATATGTATGATATGATCAAACGAATGAATATTTATCGCTATACCTCAATTTCGCGATTATTTTCACCCAATATAGTAATTCTAACAAGACCGTCTTCAACAAAGTACATTCCATCAGCCGTATCTCCTTGTTTAATAATCTGCTCGCCATCTGAATACTGTTTGGGTACAAGCGCATCAGCGAGGTTCATGCGCTCGTAAGACTGTAACACGTTCGTACATTATAAATGAAAATAATAAAATCAATATTTTTAAATTAGTCGTTCTCAAAATATAATTTGCGAAACCCAGGGGTCTTATGACCCTATAACCAAACTACGATACTCACTTCGAGCGATTTAAGCATGGGAACTTTATTAATCAAATCCTCGTACATCTTGCGCTTTTTATAAGCAGATTTGAGAAGAATTCGACGGAAAGTTTGTCTATCCATGGCCCAAAGAGTACCTGGAGTAACAGCTTTAACACTAGCCGCTCTAGGCATGTTATAAAGAAGGGCCAATTCCCCAAAAGCACCGCAATTATCGTAAGTGTGAATATTATTTTCTACGCCGTTGGCATCCTTAACGTATACTTCGAACCTCCCTCTGAGAAGAAAATAAAAATTTCCTTTAATCGTCTCTCTCTGAGCACACTCGACGATGTATATATACATATATTTTAATTAAAATTGTTATTTATATATGATTACCTTTCGATGACATAAAAATTGTCGCCATCGTCACCCTGTCTAATGATAAATTCTTCTGGCTGAACAGTTTTCTCAAACATCGCGTCCAGCACGTCAGCCATTTGTTCCTGCAAGCGAAGGACATCGATAAATTGTCTCTTCTTAAAGATAAATTAGCATAAGAAGTGCAATCCTTTAATAAAATACGTTCATCAACGCGTACGATATTTTCAAGAGACTTTCTTAAAAACATCTTTGTGTGCTAAGAACGGTATCTGATTAGTAAGATCGCATGTATTCATTGGTATTTCTAAAGTTAGCGCGAGTGCAAGTCGATTATATTCTTGTCTCGATTGTGCGTGAACTGTATACTATGTTTAACTTACTTCGTCTAAAGCACGAAACAAAAGTATGTTCTTCACGCTTTCGCCTAACCTTTGTCGTTGGCCATCGCTCTTTGGATGCACCATCTGTAATCATAAACAAACAAAAAATTATAAACATTTTTTACAGATCGAAGATTGATGTTTCTTTTTTCTTTCAATAAATTTCGCGCCATTCATTGAAAATTTATTCATGATAATTAAGAATGAATTGACGAATAAAACAAAATAAATTCCTGTTCAACGAATTTAATCGATAATAATAAATAAAAATGAGAGATAACGATCGATATAATATTATGTAATTATCTATTACAATTGTCTTAATATTGTCAATATATAAATGTCGTAGAACAATAACGTGCAATCAATAATCAAGACCATTTCAACATTAATGGATCCTTATTGTTAAATTCTTCCAATAATTATTTTAATCACGAAATGATTTTCTTTTCTATTTAACGTACGATTTATTAAAATTCATTTCAAGCAATGACGTATCTTGTTATTCAAAGATATTACTTTAAACTAGGGCACATCATAGTTCGCTCATACATTTTTTTTTTGACGACATGCCGTGCATAGTCGTCTGGGTGGGTTACTCGTTTAAAACGTGACTCTAATGGCTCAGCTGCGCATTGTATTGTTTACAATTTTTAAACACCTGCATTCATTGTATACCGTTTTAACGACTCGCGCTTATTAAAAGTTCATTATATATAAGGAAACAAACGAAATGAGTTAATATCTAATTGACTCTTTTTTTTTACAGTTTTAATTACAACAATAACGAAAGAAAAAGAAAAAAAAATAATACAAAATGACACGAAAGTTTGTTGTTGATATTATCATTTAATAATTATATAATTCAATGTTACGATTATATAATTATTATATTCATTATAATTTCAAGTAAAATATCATAAATAATTAACAAATATCAAGTAAGTTAACCTTGAAAAGAAAAAAAAAAAAAAGGAAAAGCCTGCGTTAATAGCCTAGTTTATATAAATTTTACTGACTCTTAAAAACAATATTCTGATAGAAATAAATTTAATATTGGCAGGAATGTTAAAATGTGTCATGCGGAATGCAGTGAAAAGAGCCAAAATTTCTGAGCGGTACAAAATAAGACATTTACCGAAATTATTTCCTACGCTTATTAGAATTAAACAAAATTTGACAAATATTATTTCTATACTCGATCACAATGCGTTTTACTTTCACTTTGTAGTTGTTATAAGTTAAAAAAAAAAAGAAATCAGTTAACAAGCTTTATTAACAGCAGGTATCTATTATACACTCTAAGGTTACCCCTCGACATTTTACAACTATTACAAGCAGATTTTACAAAATAACGCCAATACTCGTTAGACGTTGGATGACTAAAGAACATTAATTAATACGATTTGAGATTGAAGGTTATAATTTACACATTAATATAATCAATCTTAAACACATACAATTATTAACATACAATTAATGAATAATTCCGAACGAACGATGGAGAAGAAAAAAATAAAATGAGGCCGCTATTTCGCCGGGAAGATTGAAAGAATAAAAGAACTATAATGTATATAAAAAATATATATATATATATATATATTAAACCATATGTATATTTTATTATCCCTATATAGATCGATTCAAAAATAGGACAGTAAAAGAAAAAACGTCAGAGTGTAGCGATCGCACACGTCCCGAAACAAATTTTTCGTTCGTTTTTTCAAAGGAATTAATAGAAAAAAAAAAGGAAAAAGATAGAAAAATTAAAAAGAGAGAGAGAGAGAGAGAGAAAGAGGGAGGGAGAAAGAACAAAATCGGTAGAATAATTTTATCGAGGGACAATTCGATTATCGCATCAATAATCCAGTTCGTAGAGCTGTTTCGATACGACATCGTGCGCTCACGTGTTTAAAAGTGTGTATACGTGTCTCTCGGTTACAAGAGGTGCTATGTGTGTTAAGAGAGAGAGAGAGAGTAAAAAGTGTATGTGTTTGTGTGTGTGTGTGTGTACGCCGTCATCGTAGATGAGTGTGGCGGCACACAGCACACACAAAAGTCACATCCGTGATAGTCAGGTTATCGAACACGCGCGCTCTGACGTCACAAAGGTACATCGCTCGCATCGTCGGGCAAAGTAAATCATCGCGTTTCGTCACTCGCTTGGCGCAGGCTAAGTGCGGTACTTCAATGCGAAACGATTTTATACGATGTCTTGCGCTCGCGCGCATAACACACCACCACACGTATGAACGAATAACACATATAGAAAAACGCGCGTGTCTCTACATAATCTGATTTATATTTTATATATATACATATTATATATTTCCTTGTATGCTCCACGAGGTATCTTAAAGGTATATCTATACCTATACGTTTAAAATACGTACGTACGAATGGTTTCATATAATCAGTTTAAGTTTTAAAATAAAACCTAATAGCCATTAGCGAAATTGTTATACGATTGTTGTTCGATTTCGTTGTTGGTTTCTTTTCTTTTCTTTTCTTTTCTTTTCTTTTCTTTTCTTTTTTTTTCTTTCTTATTTGTTTTACTTTGTCTTTCTTTTTTTTTTTTCTTGTATTATTATATTTTTTTTTCTTTCGAGGGCAATCATTACGTAAAAGTTCCATAAAATCCATAAAGGCTATCGGCGTGAATTCAAAGGGTTCTCTCATTTTTTCTTTTTCTATCTTTCCCTATCTTCTTTCTACTCGGTAACTCTTCCAACGATTAACCCGCATTCAAGCGACTCGAATCAGGAAAAATTTCAAATCGTAAAACCGGATTTATATCTTTGTTATTTAAAAACATGAATTTGTTTGTAAGATATACCGTCTATGTAAAGAAATCGTTCAGAATCATTTAGATCCTTGAGCTTCTTGATAAAACGGGGAAAATCTTGTGACTAACTTCTTTCAAATATTCTTTTTATAATCTCTTAATTATATTTATTTATAATTTATTATTCTAATTCTAGATAAGTGTGTCCATTACGTAAAATCCTATAGTTTGCTTTTGCTCACCTGCTACCGAATAAATATTTCATTTTATTTATTAATACGTCATAGAGATTAAACGTTAAAAGAATTCATTCTCAGCAGGTTTTCTTATCATAAGTTTGTTAGAAAAGAATACTAGACGAAGTTCAACATCAATAATATTAATGGAAATTACAAATCGTTCTATTTCTCACGTAGAGACATACCCACGTTTTTTCTCTCTTTCTTATTTTCGTCTCATAAAGTTGTCATGAATAATTTAAAAACAATAACAATTTTCAATTATCTAAAGTAATCTAGAATTTACGTAGTACGTTACGTCAATTTTGTTCTTAACATACAGAACAAGACAAAAATGAACGTAAATGAATCATCCATATCCTTGTAAAATTTTGTTTATCGAGGCCCATCCTTTTTGCTTGGAATAACCATCATTTAAAATACAAAATTTCAATAAACTCATCTAGGATCATATTTAAAAGTAAAACTCATTCGAAATAGTCGTTAAAGGGAAGTCGCCAAAGGGAAGAAGATTGTTACCTTGACGCCGTCTTCTTCCTCATCTTCTTCTGGATTGTAAGTTTCAGCGAAAACGCTCTTCCTTCTGGTCGCAAACCTGCCGACCGGTGGTTCTAGAAAGCAATAAAAAAAAACGACGCGTTAGGTATAAATACATAAAGAAGGAATGGCACGGTCGTAAAGAGCGCGCGAAACTACTTGATGCGAATGTTCAAAAAGATTTTCGACGAATGCAAGTACGCCTAAAGGGAAATGCGTTCCGTATGTAAATAAATACTAACTTATGATTAATAAATGTATAATAAAGTTGATCCGTAAAGGGATAGAAAAAGTTTTCTAACCAGAAATAAGTTGATTAGAAGCGGTAAATTTGGAATGAAAAAAGTTTGAAAGAAAAATAATATACGATTAAGTGACGTACGCTCAAAATCCTTATGCATAACTATGTATATCCCGCGTACCGAGAAAGAGAGTCTTCCCGGATGTTTTTTTACGCGAAATAGACACTCTACGTTACGAATAATATTGAGTCTGACACCGGTCAAGATAGAATGTACACTGTGTGCCGCAACTACTTCGTTACTAATAATAGTACCCAAGTTCCAGTCTATCGGCTAAGATTCTCTATTACCAAGACCGAGAGTTTCGCGCAGCACAGCAGCGAAACGCTCGGTTACTTAGAAAATTTATGAAATTAAAACGACGACAACGACGACGACGACGACGACGACGACGACGACGACGACGAGGATGGTGAGGAGCACGCGCGCGCGCGCACGTCAGACGTCAAGACGCGCGCCATGCTTCTACTGCGCCTATGCCGATTATTATGCAAGCAATCGGAAAGGTCTAATAATAAAGGGAAGACTATTCACAATTCGATCTCCGATCTCCTCTTCAATCGCAATTTACCTTAGCGTCGAGAAACTACTCGTCCTCTGGTTAAAAAATCAATCACGAAATGTGGACTCAAGGTGAATTAATTTTATTTTCGAGTGAGAGAGAGAGAGAGAGAGAGAAATCTTCTAAACATCCAGGGAATAATGATTTTCAAGAAAGAAAAATTTAAAGAGAAGAAAAAATTCAAAGCTAGTATTTTCTCTCGTGCGTAAGAAGAATAATAATCCAAGAAGATATTTGACCTCATCTCGCGTACTACGCACATACGTACGTACGAATAAATAAATCCTCGTGAATAAAAAAAAAGAAAGACAAAAAATGTTGAATAATAATAACGCGTTTCTTTATATCCGTATTCTCTCATTTTTTCCTCCATCGATCGTCTCCCGCTTGAAAGCTCGTTAAGAAAGTGTATCGTCCGTGGAAGAAGAAGAAGAAGAAGAAGAACGGGATTTAAATTACCTGAGTACATCGAATTGATATTTATCCTACGAATAGCGTAGAAGAGGAGATAATCTTGATATTAAAGATAAAAAAAGAAAATAAATTGATGTAGGACACATGTTAAAAAAGTTATATACCTTCGTCAACGGACTCGTCCGGTGTCGAAGCACAAGTTTGCGCATCGGGTTGAATCAACTGCGTTCGACGGTTGTCCCTGAGTCTCGTAAAGAACTCGACCGCGTAGTCGATTATGTCCCCGGGTTGTTCTAAGAGATAACTGATAGTAAATTCCAAGAGAACGTCTCTTAGGTCGTCCGGCACAGTAATCTTGCCAGCGTTACGTTGACAGCTCATATTTTCTCTTAGCGCGAACGCTCCTTCCCAACGTTCCGCCGGCAGCCGCGACGTATCGCGTCCGTCGCCTCTCGTTCCTCTTCTCTCTCAACGTCGCGCGCACGTACGCACGCACGCGCGCGCCTTATCCACCTAACGGTATCACTCTCTCTTTCTCTCTCGCTCGCCCGCTAACCTCCTCCCAACCTTCTTCCCACCCTCTTTCTCTATCACTCCACTCGTACCCTTCCTCTTTCAATCAACTCCGCTCGATGCTTTTTATCTTTGACACTCTTTACATTTCTTTTTCTAATACTTAAAAAAAGAAGCAGAGTTTATTTGATACCCTTGCGTACGTCTTCAACGATGAGAAAAGGATAAAAACGGTGACCCTTTGGAAAATGTTTATCTCTATACTTTTCTCACAGCTAACTAGCCACTACCGCTCCTCCCTCTACTCCCACTCTTCAGTAACCACGTCGCAGGCGCGCGCGCGCGCGTGCTCTCTGATCTTCAAGACGACAACGTTTCTAATCTATTCCGCTATCATTCCGTTCTCGTTCTCCGTTGTTTCTTCCCTTCTTTTTCGTTACTTTCTTTTCTTTTTTTTCTTTTTTCTAAAGCCCTACATCAAAATTACTTCGGACATAAGCGCGTTCGCGAAATAACAGATTGAGAAACAATTATCCTCGATCGTGAAGATGGCAACTGTGGTTCGCCACGATATACGCAATTTATAGATTGATAAGGGGTTCGTAATTTGATCGTTACGCGACGTCAGCTCCGCTTAACGATAACTCGGAGAACTAAATTTTTGATTAGTGACTAACTTGATTCCATTTTAATATTTTAAGAGTTGTGCAATATTTATTTTAATTTTAAACAGATTGAAATAGATACAATAGGCGGTATGATATTATAACGATCAAAGAATATAATTTTATTTCTCTTTTTGTAACATTTTGCTTATCGTAGACATTCTCTTTTTTACTCACTAACTAATAAACACACACACACATATATAATGTATATATAACCCTAAAAATAATTAGCATATTATCATTACTAATGCAAACAAATTACTTGTTTGCACCATTTGAGATACAAACAATTCGCATAATATCACAATCAGAGAGTATATTATTCGCATTTATCATTCCGATAGCAATTTACTACATACAATAAAAATCATTTGCAACTTAAAATAATAAGATATTGAGAAGTATGTCAATATCTAGATTATGTAATTATAAGTTATAGTTCTAATTTCTATTTTTTTTACAAAAATTTTGTAGTATTGAGGTATAGAATACAAAAAATATATAATACAATCGATGTAAACACGAATATCTTTTAGCTTTTAAAAATACTTATCTTCCTATATGTTCTATGGAATTGTAATTATGTAGTACTAAAGTTTCATATTCTGAATAAGCTACTTCTTGTCCGTTAACTGGTATATGACATATTTGATTACTTGGATGTATTTTTCCTACATAATACAATCCGTTATATAATACTCTACCAATAAAAAGAGCATGATCATCTTCTGTTTGACCAACAGGAAGAGCATATAAAGGAACACTACCATCCCATGATTTTATCCAGTCAATGTCTCTAACGCATAACACTTGATACTCTTTCTTTTCGTGTGTTGCTCTTCCCCATGCCAAAGTACAGATATTATCCCTTATACCACCAGGTGTTACAGAATCTTTGTGATGTGCACGGCCAACATATAATCCATCTTCTGAAGCAATGGCTGCATTTTGCGGAAAACTCATTGTGTTGTTATAGTCAACCCATAAATGACTTGTATCAGCGAGCTGTTGTCTTATGGCAAGTGCCGTAAATTTACTTTCTAAAAATAATAATTATAGTATTATTTTATAGATTTTGCATATCTTTATAAGACAGGAAAAAAAAAATTTTATTTTAAAATACATTGCTGCAAATCACGTAACTAACCATTAATTATAACCCATTCTTCTGTCGCACCCCAAGCTGTACTAAATCCTATATAATTGATAACAAATGGATTTTTATCTCTATATGTCATTAGTCTCACATTCTTCATCCTCTTTGCCTACACTTAACATTCCTCCAATATAGAAATTCTACAGAGGTTCCAATCAAAAACTCTACGAAACATTTGCAATGCCCCATGATACGTTACAAACGAAAGAATTCATCAAGATTTAAGAATATCTACAATAAAAGAAGAAATTGTTAGCTTCAATGAACGCTACAACTCCCGTTTAGCCAAACATCCCAACTCTTTAGCAAAAAATTTACTAGAAACAAATGAACTAGTACGAAGACTAAAAAGGTTCTACCCTTCTGACCTTAAAACAAGATTTGAATGATTTAAAACATCGTAATATTATTTGAGACTAATGTATTATATCTACACTCACCATTGTATATATTATTCATGTACATTTCATGTTATTACATCTCGCCAGCCTAAAGTACTTATAATTCTCGTCGAGAATTGATTGTATGTTCTGTAATGAATAAAAAAAACTTAACATTCCATCACAGGACCATCTATAAATGTTAGTTGTCGATTAGTTATTTTAATAAAATAGTCATTATTTATGTTTACTTTTAAAGTAATCCCTTACTTTATCCAAATATTACAATAATCTCCACATAAATCTACAGTTTCTGCTTCTGCTACATTTGGCTCTACATTATTTCTCTTTATAGCGGACATGGTATTTCCCCATCTGCCAAGAATAATCTAAAGTAGCAATGCTATACTAAATATTCATTAATTTAATAAAAAATCAATTTCTTTTTTTTGTTTAGATGAAAATTATAATAAAAATAATATATAAATTATGTTAAGTCTTCCGTGCATATCCTAACTTATTTTAAACTTACTTCGTATACATTAGAATCATCTCCCAAGTGAGCTCTAAGAGCAATTCTGGCATCATGGTTGGCCTTCATTCGCAAGTTAATGCTACATCTCGTAATAGGAAAATAACAATAATCCAAACTATCTATTGTATTGATTGCTACTAAAAAAAGAATCATACAATGATTTTAGATCATGATGTTTATTTTACAAGGATTTATGCTTATCCAAAGGATTATATAAACTAAACATTTATATTTAATATATTAAATATTATGTTGTCATATTTATTTTTAATTACGCAATGTTAACCTACCTAACATGATAAATTTCAAACAATAAAAAAATTAAAAAACTTATTAAAAATCTTATCAGACTCTTTAATATGATTTAAAAGTATATAATATTTGAATTAAAATAATATTTCTATTAAAAATAAAGTCTACTCAATATGTAAGATACAAAAGGTAAACATTTATGACAGATTGTAGATTTCGAGGAATTTTTTAATTTTTTCTGACCGTAATAAGCATGCTTGAACAGCTATGCATATATATATATACATATATTTGATCCTTAGATACCATACACTGTCACACTTTGAACACATGATGTTTGTGACGACTGCGGTTAATAGTTGGTACTGTGCAATAATTGATATTATTTTTGAAAAAGTTTAACTATTATTATTTAAATGGTGCCTGAAATAACAATTGCACATACTTTGCACTAACATTCTTATTATTTATTCGTTCTTTTATATTTTTGTTTGTACAATTTATGGCTAACAAGTTTGCCGCTAGAGTAAAAATATTGGACGTTTTGAATGAGATCTATATTGATAAAAATACTATTTTTACATTGCTTGTTTCTATTTTTCTATTTATATAATGTATAATTTATAATTTACAAGTTCAAATTTAGTTTTAAAGTGCAAATTTAGAATTTTTTTGAATGGAAGTACCCATCTATACTAATCGAAATACTATTTTTACATTGTATTTTCATATTTTTTCATACAATTTGTGATTCGTAAGTTTGCCGCTAAAATGCAAATGTAGGGCGCTTTGAAGAGGAATACCCATCTATACTAAACTTCTAACTTTGCCTCCATTTATGTTCTTTCCTGTTCGAGACTTGGATGGTGAGAAACGAACTTCGAGTTTATTTTTTTTAAAATTCGAATTTTTGATGAGTATATAAATTAAAATTTAATTTTGAGTGAATATCGAGAATTAAAACAAAGAAAGATGTTGGTTCTCTTTGAAACTCCAGCGGGATACGCAATATTTAAGGTAAATTTATATCTAAGAAAAATCTTAACCTCGTAAAAGATGCACGTGTTCAAGCCGCCCGGTTATATTTTTTTTTATATATGTATAGAAGATAAATAGATTCTTTATTTCAAACATGAAAGGTTAAAAATGGATATAAAAAACTATTCTATTCATATATCGATTTGTACATTATTTTTGCAAGCACAGTTTTTGTTAATTTATCATTAATCTTGTTTCTTATCCTCCAACTATTACCTACATTTTTATTACTTAGAACTTTATATTTATTGCGTTTATGTATATTTCTACTTTTGTTACTTATCTCTTTAATTTCTCTAGTACTCGCTATTTTTTTATTCATTTTTTTTTTTTCTTTTTATATTTTCCTTAATATTAAACCTACCAAATGCAGTCAAATGACCGCATTCTGTAATTTGTAATAAATAATAAAATAAATCATAAAATGTACATTATTCATTTCTAAATAAAAGAAAATATTTTGATTATTATCCAATTAGTTAAAATCTATATTTTTTTGTAAAGCGATCATTTGACTGCTCATGGCAGGAATAGGTATACACGATATGCCGATAGGTTTACTGTTAATTATACTATTATATCTCTGCACCCCATAAAAATGTATATTTTTAACCAGTGATAATATTTCGTTGCAGTTACTAAATAAAAAGATATTGTCGCGTACTGATGATTTGTTTCTTGAATTTCAAACACCCGAAGCAGCAAATAAAATGTAAGATATTCTATTTACGAATAATATTTAATTTTATAATTGTATTGAAATTATTAGATTTTTATTTATGTAGTATTCTTGTAACTGTAAATAACATTTCTTAATATTTTGATTTTAGTGTTAAACTGAAACATTTTGAAAAGTTTGAAAATACTACAGAAGCTCTCGCTGCTACAACAGCAGCAATAGATGGAAAATTATCTAAAAATTTGAAAAAACTTCTGAAGAAACACTTTTCAGAATGTCAAGAGGAATTGGCAGTTGCTGATGCCAAATTAGGAGTTGCTATAAAAGAAAAACTTAAGTTATCATGTGTAAATAATACAGCGATACAAGAATTAATGAGATGTATTCGAAGTCAAGTCGATGGTTTGTTAGGTGGTTTGCCTAAGAAAGAAATGGCAGCAATGGCCTTGGGTTTAGCACATAGTCTATCAAGGTATAAATTGAAATTTTCCCCCGATAAAATTGATACCATGATAGTGCAGGCTGTTTGTCTATTAGATGATATAGATAAAGAATTAAATAACTATGTAATGCGTTGCCGTGAATGGTATAGTTGGCACTTCCCAGAACTTAATAAGATTATAACAGACAATATTGCATTCGTAAAATGTATTAAAGTAATTGGAACTCGAGAAAATACCATAAATGTAGATCTGTCTGATGTTTTACCTGAGGATATTGAAGAAAAAGTTAAAGAAGCTGCAGAGATATCAATGGGAACTGAAATTTCAGAAGATGATATTTCACATATCCAACTGTTATGCGATGAAATAGTACAACTTTCACAGTTTAGAGGAGATTTATATAATTACCTTAAAACCAGAATGATGGCAATGGCACCTAATTTAACTACGTTAGTTGGAGATCTAGTGGGCGCACGTCTAATTTCTCGTTCAGGCTCTCTTATGAATCTGGCTAAACAACCAGCTTCGACTTTACAAATTCTTGGTGCAGAAAAAGCACTTTTTAGAGCATTAAAAACCAAAAAAGATACTCCAAAATATGGTTTAATCTATCATGCACAGCTGGTAGGACAATGTTCTACTCAAAATAAAGGAAAAATGTCGAGAATGCTTGCAGCAAAAGCATCGTTAGGAGCAAGAGTCGATGCTTTAGGAGATGATATAAATTATGATTTTGGTGCTGAGCATAAAGCTAAATTGGAAGCCAGATTGAGAGTATTAGAAGAAAGAAAGTTACATAGAATTTCTGGAACTGGTAAAAGTAAAGCTAAGTTCGAAAAATATCATTTTAAGAGTGAAACTATACATTATCCAGTATCTGCAGACACAACACTTACTGCAAAGAGAAAACATTCTCAAATAGATGATACACTAGAAAAAGATGGAGAAAATGAAGCGAATGTAATTCAAGAAGCTCCTAAAAAGAAAATGAAACAAGACATTGCTGAGGAAGGATCGTCACAAACAGAAAATATAGTTGGAAATGAGGGCGAGCAAGAAGTTCCATCCAAGAAAAAGAACAAAAAGAAGAAGCGAGAAGAAGCTACAACAGATGATGTTGCAGTAGTGAGTGAACAGCAGGATGAAAGTATTGGTAAGTAATTTTCATTTAATATTTATCTATATATGAGTTTAACTTTGTACAATTTATTATGCGCATATTAGGTTGATAATCGACTCGTTTTTTATCCTTAAGATATTTAGCTTTCTTTAATTGACCATTCTTAGCAGCATTTTGTAAAGGAGTATAGCCAATACGGTCGTCATTATTAGATTATACATTAGAATTGATTTTTTTTGCATCTATAAGACATTTCACTATGTTCAATTGACCATATTGAACAGCAATATGCAAAGTGCAGAAATATCTTATGTTTATGAGAATGAGTTATTTAAAAATAAGATTGTAAAGAAATGGGTTATTAGTCATAAAAAGAAATAACTTTGATTTGTTGACTTTTTTGACTACCATGCGATTAGTGATAATGAAAACAATAAGAAACTTTTACACCATTAAAAAATACTGAAAATTCCTCATGTAATTAAAGTGATCACTCAAGGAGTTCAGGTGAAAGAAGCGAAATGAGTGTAAATTCTAGAAAACAAAAACATTTTTTTACAGGCAAAGATGATAGAGTATCGAAGAGGCCGCGCAATGAAGATTCTAAATCTAGTGATTTACAAGATGAATCTAGACAGGACTTGTCTGATGAATTGCATAATGCTTGTAAAACTGGGCAATACATTCCTCATCATTTAATTGAATTTATGTATCAATTAGACTTGTTGATGCTTTGCTCACTTAGAAAGTTTACACATGAACATAAATATCCTTCATTATCATTAGCATTTAAAGATTATGAAATTGATAAATTTAATAATATTGTTCTTCGTTATAAAAAGAAGTCTATTCATATACAGATTGAAAATGTAGACAAGTATTACATAAATAATGGCATTAATTATGCTAGATTATTTACTAAAGAAAAACGAAGTTTTTCTATTAATAATTATTTTGATAGTTTTGTTAAACATATAATCTCTAAATCAGAAAGTTCATCAAATAATATAGAATATCTTATTATCTATACTAATTCAGGCTTGGATCTTACAGAAGACAAAAATTTAAAAGAAGGAAAATTAAAAAATTTTTATCCTTTTAAATTTGATAGCATAAACATAGAAGAAAGTAACCTTTTGAAAGACTTTTTGTTTACAAATGACGAAACACGAGGAAGTGGTTTTTATCAATTTTCGCGAGATAAAACAATAAGAGAAGAACTTTTAAAGCGGTTAGAATTTTCATCTGCTATGCAGAAAGTAATAAAAGAAAGAAAAATTTCACAGGAATTTGAAAAAGAAATAAAAGAAGGATTTTTAGATAAATTAGTATTTGCAGCTAATCAGCCTAATAGAGAAGAGCTGAATAGCATTATTAAAAATGAAATAGGAAGAAATAGTACACGTGGGGATGATTATATAGCATTACAAAAAAGAATATTAAGTGATTTAACAGCTCCATCAAAGGATAAAAAATTCGAGAATAATGTAACTGGAATTATATATAAATTCAATTTATTAATACTTTTCTTGCATAACATGTTCTTGCATAAAAATATATCTTCCATAAATTTTGAGGAAAATAGCAATGATATATCTAATAGCATTGTTCTTCATTATAAAGATAAAATTATTTACGTAAAGGCTCACTATACAAATAGTAATATTAGTTATAGTCAGCTATTTCCTTCCAAACAACAGAAAAAAAAGAATATGTTTTCTATTAATAAGTATTTTACTCTTTTTATTGAGGAATTAAAAAAGAATATAGAATACTTTATTATCTATACTAATGCAGATCTAGACTTTACAGAAGAAAAGAAGTTAAAAAAAGAGCGATCTAAAGATTTTTATCCTTTAAAATTTGATAATGATAAAGTTTTAACAGATTGTTTGTTTATTAATGGGAATGGTCTTTATCGATTTGCCGAAGAAGAAACAACAAGAAAAAAGCTTTTAAGTTTATTAAAACTTCCACCTTCTTTGCGAAAAGAACAAGAAGAAGGAAGATTTTCTAATGAAAGTGAGCAAGAGATAAAAGAGAAATTTTTAGATAAACTAATATTTGCAACCAACCAACTTAATAACGAAGAATTCAATAATATTATTAAAAATGAGATAGATAAATCTGATGTTCCATATAATTATGAAGAAATACATGAAATAGCGTTACGTTGGTCAGAATCTCATGAATTTGGAAATATTACAAAAGAAATAATAAAAAAGCTTTTTGAAGACATAAAAAATAATAGATCTAGTTATAAGAAAATTCCAAATAAAAACATTAATGAAGAAATTAAGTTTGCTAGAAGTGTCGTTGGTAGAGAAGGAACACCTGCATTTAATCAGTTCTTAAATTTTTTAATTAAAGGAGAAGGGATAAAGTGTCTAAAAGTTCTAAGAAGACAAAAAATTGACTTAGTTAATATGTCCAGTATTTTGCATGTAACAGGAGCTAACGCTGCAAAAGCTTTTAAAGACTTATATGAACTTTGGTTTGATAAACAAGGAAGTAAAACACAATATTTAAGTACTCTAGAAAAGGAAGAAATAAATCTATCTAATATGTCTAGTATTTTAGGTGGATCAGGAACTAATGCTGCAAAAGCCTTTAAAGATTTGTATGAATTTTGGTTTGATATGAAAGGAAGTAAAACACAATATTTAAGTACTCTAGAAAAGGAAGAAATAAATCTAGCTAATATGTCTAGTATTTTAAGTGGAGCAGGATATAACGCTGCACAAGCTTTTAAAGACTTATATGAACTTTGGTTTGATGAAAAAGGAAGTAAAACACAATATTTGAATACTCTAGAAAGAGAAGGGATAAATCTATCTAATATGTCTAGTATTTTGAATGTAGCAGGAGCTAACGCCGCAAAAGCTTTTAAAGATTTGTATGAATTTTGGTTCGATAAGCAAGGAAATAAAACACAATATTTAAATGCTCTAGAAAAAGAAGGGATAAATCTATGTAACATGTCCAGTATTTTAAGTGGAGCAGGAGCAAACGCTGCAAAAGCTTTTGAAGACTTATATGAACTTTGGTTTGATGAAGAAGGAAATAAAACACGATATTTAAATACTTTAGAAGAGGAAGGGATAAATTTATCTAATATGTCCAGTATTTTAAGTGGAGCAGGAGCTAATGCTGCAAAAGCTTTTAAAGACTTATATGATTTTTGGTTTGATGCAAAAGGAAATAAAAAACCGCATTTAAAACATTTTATTGAGAATAAAGATAAGGAAAACAGTTTTACGCTGCACAATTTATCGGGTATATTAAGTAAAGCAGGGGCTAAAGCTAAAAGTGCTTTTGAAAAATTGCATAGTGTTTGTTTTAATGACAAAGGGAAAAGAACAAAATTGTTAGATGATTTCTATAAGGCAGGTTTTAGGCCAAGTAACTTATCTTGTACGTTATGTGGAACAGGAGTTCGTGCTTCTTTTACTTTAAAAAGATTGCATAGTACTTGTTTCAATGAAAAAAGAGAAAAAACAAAATTTTTAGAGAACTTCTATAAGGCAGGTTTTAGGCCATGTGATATATGTGGTGTGTTGAGCGCAGCAGCAGATAGTTTTAAAACGTTTCATGATTTTTGTTTTACAGGAGATACAAAAAAATATTTAAATCATTTCTTAATTGAGAAAGGAGGTTTTACACCGAATAATTTATCTAAGATATTGCACGGAGCAGGAGCTAATGTTTGTTCTGTTTTAAAAGATTTTCATAATGTTTGTTTTGATGAAACAGGAAACAAAACACAGCTTTTAGATGATTTCTATAAGACAGGTTTTAGCTCGAGCGATTTATCTAATATATTATCCATGGCAGGAAGGAATGTCACTTCTATTTTAAGAAACTTTCATAAATTGTGTTTTTATAAAGAAAACTATTTCAATCACTTTTTAGCAGAGAAAAAACTTTTTACGCCAAAAAATTTATCTAAAATATTATATGGAGTAGGAATTAATATTTGTTCTTTTTTTAAAAAATTGCATAATCTTTGTTTTAATAAGACAGGAAACAAAACAGATTATCTCAACGATCTTGTAAATAATCATAAGCCAAATAAGATACTTAATATATTATATGAAAAAGTAAGAAAAATGCTTTCTAACTAGAATTAGGGCTTTATTAGAAAATGCTAAGAAAAAAAAAGCTTTTATAAATTGTAGATTTTTTAAGTAATAACCATCGGTTTTTATGTCTCCATTATTATGAACAGAAGTATAGTCAACCTCTTCAGATAGAAAATTATAATTGTAAATAGCAATATATAAAGAAGACTTTCTGAAGATTGATATAATTACCAAATTTATCTAATAATATCTTATGTAATGTCTGATAATATCATATATAATATCTATCAAAATCTTAAGTAGTCACTGTTTTCTGCCTTGCCCTCCTGTGGAGGCAATCGAATGCACTCTATTGGGATGATCACTAAAAACGATTTCCCTTGCATCTTCAACGATAATGATTCTTTCTTCCATATAATATGCGAAGTAGCATTAGTAAAAGTAGTTTTATCGGTAGAAGTTCCACCATTATTTATGTTTGATGGTTTTTCATGAACATGGAACATTGATTTGATATTAAGTTAAAAGTAAAATTTATTAGATCAGTTTCAATTTTGATTTTAGAACCTAAGAAGAAAAAGAAAAAGAAGAAGGAGAAGCATGCTACTGAGACACAGGAGGAGACTTCTGTTCCAACAGAAACAGCTGAAGATGTAGCACTAGTTTTGACGGAGAAGAAAAAGAAGAAGAAAAAGAAAGTACAAGAAACTGAATAACTTTAATTGAAAGTTTTTGAAGAATCAGGATACTATTATCATCGGTGGATTGACTTTATAATAAATTTCAAGAGTGATCCTAGAGATATTCAAAAATTCATAAATTCTCCGAAAACAGTTTAGAAGTCTTCTCAGTTTTTTTCCAGGTATGCAAAGATAAATAAATGACGAGTTTGTTAATAACTTTGTCTACTTCTTTGTATCTTTTACTTATTTTTTTATAGAAATATATAACTTATAAAATAACAAATATCTTTTCATAGCTTTTTAAAATATCATTTAATAATTTTTCATAAATTCGTTTCAATTATATATATTCAGTGCATTATATAAATACGTAGGTTTAATTATTTTTACTTATCATATATTAAATACCTAATAAAATCATTAAGCAGTTAATTGATCTTTACATATACCGCATTCAAAGTGTTGAAAGTATCATTACAATGCAAATAAGAGTTTGATTTTACTTTATAAGTCATAAATATATCGCTGAAAAAATTTGTTAACTTTTATATGTTGAATAACAAAGCAACATTATGTACATATATTTCTTATTTGAATATTTTAAGAATAATCGATTCTAAGTGTAATGTACAGAATAAAATACATAATAAATTATATAAACTTTATATAAAATATTTTATTGACTTAGCGGTTAATCCCTTGACCGCGGGTTATTCAGATATGAAACGTGCCAATAGTGAAGCATTTTATTTATAACAATCGTCACATCACTTGCATATAAATGCTATTCACAATCAAATGGGTAATGATTATTATAGATTATTATTGTAAGAATTCTGTAAAATCCTGTATACAATTACATATTTGCAAATGAATTACCTACTTTTGCTTGTTATATTAAACTATTTTCATTACAATCATTTATTATAAATCTTTTTATTACTTTTATTAAATAATTAAAGATAATATTAAATTGAAACTAGCACATATTTTAAGTATTAATTATAACAAAATTTATAAAGACTATTGTATGCATAATAAAAGTAAATTAGTTTTTCATAAACAAGTTCTAGTGTGTTGTATCATTTCTGCTATATTACATTCTGTGAAAATATCAATAAAGAAAATACTAACGTATTGATTTCATTTGAATAAGGATTAAAAATAATCATTTTTTTTAGATTTTAACATATCTTTATTGTTATACACGTACACAAAAGTAAGCTGATGTTAAATGTAAATTGTCACCGCTAGCATTTATGCAGGAAAAGTACAAAACATTATATAGAACACTATAAAAGCTATTCTTCGAAATTATTATGCGACCACTTAATAAACTTACATAAATATATTTTGTACTTTATTGTAAATTGGTGTATGAATTGCTTATATTATTCCAAAATAACGTAACTTAACTTTATTACCAAATATATTTGGTAAGACACTGATTTCTTTTACAGGTATTGATGATTGAAACACTTTTTACTTATTATGTTAGGTAAATATAATAATGTTTAATTTATTAATAAACATAGATTCTAGATATATCGTCTCAAAACAAAAATTGCACATTATTTTATCTTGTTAGAAGTGAACGCTAATTCTCTAATTAAAATGAATTGCTTGAAATTGAGGAAGTTTTATTGAAGCATTTTATATGCAATACCTACCAGAAAACCTTTCTACGTATATTTATTCTATCAAAATAAAATTATTATTTTTAAAAACAGAGATGCACACATATTATTATGTTACTATGTTTACATTTATTTAATAAATGTATTTATATATTACATATGTTATTTTGCAATAGTATTTTATACCGTGTAAATTATAACTGACTACTATTATTATAATTATTTAACCATCATACAAGTTCATTATTTTAGACGTTATCAAAGTTATTGGGAAATTATATAATCAAGATTTATATGCACACACTTGAATTGTAAGTATTATTTTACATTTTAATATATATGTATGTATATATAAAATTGATACATATAAGTCGTAGAATATAATTATTTTTATTTAGACTAAAATAATAATCTATCATTAAAAATATAATTTCTCCTCTTTATTTTTTTTATTTGTCATATAAAATGATTATAGTAAATTAATAATATGCTGTATATTATTCTCCAACACTTTATGAGCAGGTAAATTGAATTCTAAAATTGTATTATAAATCTGAGATAACACATTGCTTCATGCAAATGTTCAAGTTTATATAGCTATTAAGTTCTAAATATTTTAAATGATTAATTATATTTATGATATATAATCAATTTTTATAAATGAATGTATAAAGAGATTTCATATTTGCTTAAGATCCTTATGTGCATGTTTGTTAAAAAAAAGAAATACATAAACAAAAATGTATATAAATATAAAGAATTCCATTTGCAATGAATATATTCATGTATAATATATATATATTAGATTTTTTATTAATAGGAATGTGAGTATTACAATCTAGAACAAATTAAGATACATACAAATGAAATCATTATAATGAATTAAATTTCTACATAGGTTTCTTTAAATCATTATATGTATATTATGGTTAGACGAATCTGTAGTAAATTCAATTTTATATCAAAATTAGATCATATGTTATGCTTGGCAAAAGCTGAGATGGTCCATAATTAGTATTATAAATAAACGATGTGAATTTTAAATATTAACATTTCATATTGTAAACTAGTAAAATATTCATAAGCCAGAATATATATATAATTATATTATATATGTGTTAGCATTATTATGTGAAATCTCTAATTCGTGAAATGATTAGCTAAATCCTGAAATAACTATATTGACCTGTTTGAATATGGAAGAAGACAGAATTATATACTTCAACTAGATAATATGTAAATTTATAAGAAGCAAGGAGTTAAGGTAGGAAATTGAAATTTGATCCAATAGAACTGAATGACTAACAGAATATTAGTTTTCGAAATATAGGAAAAGATAACAATGGATAAATAAAAGCAGACTTTAAAAGTGGATTTTCTAAAACTACTAGTTTTAGTGTATAATAAAATTCTTTTTACATGTTTGCTAAAAACACCTAGTTATTTCGGGTAAAACCACAGGTCTCCACGATTTAACTGAATTATACAATTTAATGCTGACGTATATGTGTATATAATATATATATATATATTATAAACACATACTGGATATTGTGCATTATAGGTTGCAACATTTTATTCGGAAGAAAATTAATAAACAATTATATGTTTAATGTAATTATAAATGCAAGCATCTATATTTCTGTAAGCATTCAAATTGCAGTGCAAACATATATATATATGTATATTGCTATATTTTGCTGATTATTTTAAATTCCGCATGCAAAATTCAATGTTAGAATAAGCATAAAGTTGTAATGTTAAGTTTTATCCAAAAAATAATTATTTCAAATTACACATAAGAAATCCAATTTTATATACATTTTCATATGTATTATATAAATAAAATCTTTTCTTATTTATATTGTAATGAAAAATATAAGCTGTCAAACTTACAATTGAGATTTCAAAATTTATTTTATTGATTTTCTACATGCATCTTATAGTTTCTGGGATAAAGCAGTGTATTAAAAAATAGAGTATACATATTATTTTCCATTTACCCTTTTACTAGGAAAAAATTCATGTCTGTAAAATTAATATTATGCCATTCTCAAATTTTAAATAAATGTAAGTAATAATTTTATGCACAATCATAAATGTATACAAACAAAAAATATATTTTCTTAATAGAAGGCAGTTATTATTTTTAAAATATAAATTTCTTTTATAGATAAATATATAGACATATATAAAATCCACAATTATTTAATATCTCTCTTTGCTTTTTTTTTAATGCTACAAATAAATTAATTGCAGACATGAGTTTTTGACTTAACGAGATAATATAAGATCTTAGAATTTCTTTATTATATAATATTTGTTATATTTTCTATGTATATTTCGACTTTCGATTTTCCCTCTGAATAAAGAGATAAACACATTATTATAATATATTATTTTCTTGTAATATTATAAATTAGTAATTTATTTTATAATTCGCATTTCCACTCAAATTTGTACAACTTGCTGATTGTAAAGCATAAGTCACTATAAATGATTTAAGAAAGCAAAGTGTGTGTAATATCTGATTTATACGACACAATTATATATTAGTAATCAATATGAAAAAAAATATGCTTCCAATAAAGAAAAAAAATTATTTTCTAAAATGCATATATACTTTAATGATCTGATAGATCAACCTGCAAATATTTGAGCAGACACAGCACGTATTTTGAAAAATTTACGAAATTATCAATACACCCTTTAAAGGAATTCTTCTGGACAATAGTACAATTGCAGTAGTAATTACAATTGTTTATTTATGTGATTAATAAAAATTAAAAAATATTTATGGTATATATTAAAAAAAAAAAAGAAATAAGTTCAGTAAAAAAATAAAGAAAAATTAACATTGATACAATAATAGAGTATACTACATTCATAAAAAAAATAATATATAAAGTATAGAAAAAAAATAATAAAAATAAAATAAATTCTTGCATATTTCCTTATAAGGGCATACCTAGTCCCTACCAAAGTAGTGACATATTGCACACTAGACTCATTCTATTGCAGGCTGTGCATTTATGAACTTATACTACAACCACCAGCTGAATAGTCTTATCTACAAATCTAAATATTTATAGTCTACAACTATATATGTTTTATATATCATGATTCTTTCAGAATACTATAATCGTATATGCAATATATGTATGTACAATACATAAAATTATAAATTTCAATGATAATTTAGCAAATATAAATTTATCGAATGCTTGTGAATAAATTTAGTACAGACTTGTTTTCTTTCTGACTGCGTGCTTTACTGAACACATTCCAAAAACGAAGAGTTTCATCTCCAGCACCTGTTACAATGGCTTCACCATCAGGTGACATGGCTAAGTACAAAACTCTATAAGAATGTCCTGTTAATTTTGCAACCTGTGTTAAACTTGGATATTTCCAAACTAATATTTGATTTTGGGAATAGCCATGTGTACTGACTAGTTCTGAACTGTGCTTACTCCAAGCCAAGTTACAAACTTGGGATCCAGTATCAACGCACTGCATAGGTTGACCAGTTAAAGTATTCCAAAATCTGATACATCTATCTGCAGTACCACCACCTGAAGCCAGTAAGCCATGATGATGAGGAGACCAAGCGATTGCCTTGACAGCAGCCAAGTGTTCGGTATAAGTTTGTATAGGTGATAAAGAATGTAAATTCCAAACATAAAGACGATTGTCATTCCCACCAGAGGCCAAGTACTGATTATCCGGAGACCATTTTAATCCACAAACTTCTTGTCTGTGAGCTCCCAAACGTCGTTCACTCACAACACAAGGTGTTCTAACGTCTCTTTGCAATATTAATCTGTCTCTACTACCAGAAGAGAGAACTTCTCCATTCCATGCCAAAGCGCCAACTCTGGCACTGTGACCATGTAATTTGCTTACTTGTTTGTTTACAGCAACATCCCATACTTGAATGTATCCTAAGTGCGTTCCAACTGAAACTAAGTTTCCTCTTTCGTTCCAGGCTACTGAGGTGACGCTATTGCCATCACTGGACAAATCACACAGTCTGGTTACTTGACTGGTACAAGCCGACCACAAGTAGACACAACTACCTAAGCCAACGCTAAGGACATTTTGCGATGACCAATCGACCAAATTTAAATAAAAGTCATCTTGTAATTCAGGAGCGTCGAGTACTTTAAATGGTATTCTAGATATTTTTCTAGTTGCTTTTCTAGGTGAACGTAATAATTTTTGACTTTTAGCACTTAAAGGTGAAAGTGAATAAGGCGAGCTTTGATCCAAAAGTGTATGATCCTTGGTGGGTGTAGTATATTTAAACAAATTTTTGGACATCAAAGGTGAGAGAATTCGTCTTTCCTCGCATTGACCTTTCACGTCTTCAATACTAGCACCTAGAAGCTCATTTTTTAAAAGACAGGAATACGCAATACCGTCTCGACTGCCTTCACCATTTTCACGAGTCTTCTTTGTCGCAAGACCACTTCGGCCGTTTTCAGATATCATTGAAAAGGTTGTCTGCCAGTTGTTACCCGACCTTGTCGGTATAAATCGATCAAAACTATTGTTGGTCATTTTAGTTGGTGAAAAATATACAGGCGTGTAATGAACAGGAGTGGTTAAATTATCTATGTGGCCCTCGCTATTTGACTTCAACAGTCGCTTCTCGTATTCGTGATGAAACATTTTCTGATTACACACCACGATATATAACGTACACACTAGCCTTTTACTTTAAGTCACATTCTTTAAAGCGGCTACACATTCATTTAATTATAACGTAGCCGCTTAGATTACACGAATATGTATAAATACATTATCTTTCCTCTTTTTTAAGAGCCAACACAAGCCGACCGATAAAACTGAACTATTTAACCCGTTACGTCGCCATTCGACGTCAACTCCGAAAGATTTTTTACAAGGAAAGGGCAGGAAAAACGACTCCTCTTCCTCCAATCAAAAGGCTTTATTTGAAATTTTGCCTCGCAACAGATGGGAAACGCGAATATAACTGCTGAGGCTAGCAAGAACTATATACACACGTAGCGACATTCCAACAAGCTTATCTTTCTTTATTTCCTTTCTTTCTTTTTTTCTTACCTATTTAAAATTATTTCAAATATATTTTCTATTTTCTTTTTATGACTTACCCTATTGTTGTTTTTCTACCTTTCTACATTCTAAATAATGACCATTTTGTTTGTCTACTATCCCTTTACTTTCTATTGTCAATATTTTTTAAATCGCCGATTAATACTTTATATTTTTTTATCATATTTATTCAAAACTTATCTATTTTAAAGTGCCATTAAAAGATCATTAATCATAATGATTGTGTTAAACATATATGATACTAAATCTATTAATATTATGTAATATTTATATTATTTATTTACATTTATATAATATTAATATAATTAGTATCTAATATATTCAAGTATTTTTATAGTTTTTGATAAATACAAAATAAAATTCTTATAGTTATTATGTATAAATAACAAACGATCATTTAAACACGTATGTATATACAAAAATTTATTATATTATTTTGTAATATAATTTACTATTTATATTATAAATATAATTATATTAAATTTATTATCTAATTATTTGGAAAAGTGTGTAAAATAAAAAGAAAAATACGAATCTAAGAAGATTCTTGGTATTTATAATTGTTTAACAAATAAATGTAGAAATCTTATGTCAAAATCTAATATAATTATTATTAAAATGAAAAGTTAATGGTCTTTACGTTTTAAAATATTATAAAATCGAATAAATCTAAAATATTATTAGTGTACGTTTCATTTTTAATTATAATTTAAATAAGATTATTACAATTACAAAGCGTTCCGAAACTCATCCCATTGTGTCCATGAACGTCGTGACGTAGTGAACTATCAAGTGCATAGAAAAGTTAGTGATCCCTTTAAATACTGAATTTTCTTACGTAAATAAGAGGTGAGTTATGTAATTAGACTTTATTAGCGTTGCATTTAACATTTATGAATGCACATTAATTGTTTAGAAAATTAATAAGAAAACGAATTGTTTCAATAATTATTGGAATTCAATGAAAATGAAAAACTAACCTTATTTTAATTGTAAATATTGGATTTACGTGTTAAATATTTTTTGTTAGAATGTAATCAATATTTGTGATGATTTATGAATATATCTTTATACGTTTTTTTTATATATATATTTCTGTTAGTAACATTATTATTTTTTACAGATAATTAAAAAATATGGGTGGCCATGGACATGAACATGATTCCATTAAAATACCTAGTCCTGATTCATACAAGATAGAAAACTTTCCAACGATAGTAAAATTTCAAGAACGTTTAGCGAAGGAAGGTTTAAAGGACCCATGGTTAAGAAATGAGGCCTGGCGTTATCATCCTAAATATAAAACAAAAGGACAACGTGCAATGATGCTTTGCTTTAGAGGTTGGAAGCTTGGTGTTCCAGCATTCTTAATAACTATAGGAATCGAAGAATTTTTGAGAATGGGTAAAAAAGATGAACATGGTCATGATAGTCATCATTAGTACAATTATATGTACAAGACACGCAAGAATAGTTAAATCATTAAGCAGTACTGCAAGTGTAGAAAGTCTAAGAATAAATGACTGTTTGGGTAACTATTCAATTTTGTTAAGAATTATTTCTCTCTTGATTGTTAGCATCGGCAAATAAAATGTTATTTATTTAAAAAAAAAAGCCATGTATATAGTATTATATACTTTAGTAATTTAATATAGTAAAAAGAAATGGAGTATCTTTATCTCTAATTTATACTAACATAGTCACATATTTCTATTATAGTCTATTATTACATTAAAAATCTTTCATCTAATAATGTTTTACTGCTTAAATTGTTTCTTCCATTGTGTTTCATAATTCCAATGAATAACTGCGAAAGTATAAATGTAACTGCAGTAGCTAATACATAGTTATCATATAAAGTTAAGAGAAAAAGAAATATTGTTATTTCTAGAGTTCCCAACAACCATTCGTTTCCGTAAAGTATTATTTGACTAAATGAGTAATCATTATCTGTAATAATAGGTTAAATTAATTCTAATAGCAATTTTGTAGAACTTTAGTTATCGAATGTTGCCTTACCGATATAGAAGACAGATGTTTTATTGATATTTGTGTAGAGAACACCACAAAGTTTTTCTATTAAATGATGTTCTTTGATAATGTAATCTTCATCTTTGAAACAATGATCCAGAAATTCGCGTAAAAATTGATTCAATTTTATACGTGTATTGCAAATCTGACTCCAATCCATAGAAGTATAAATATTTTGTTTGAAGAATCTATTGGTTATCTAAAAAACGTTTATTAATAAGATTGGTAGATATTTTATGAAAAATAATTTAGCTTTTTATCTACATGTATATATATTTTTTATAATATAATAATATATTCATACAGGTATCGATGATTACAAAAAACTCACAAAATCTTTCTCAGTATAAAATTTTTCATAGAATGTTCTGAATGTCGGTGTTACTGATACTACAAAATTTTGTTCTATTGTACCAGGAACCAGACCTCTATGTGCACATAATTGATTCTCTTCGTTCTTTAAATTATTTATTAAAGTAAATAAATCTGTATCAGAAAATCCATGAACTGATCTATGAAATAGAATTGATTAAAATAGTTAGTATCAATATTTTGTATTCATTACAATAATGTATCTGTTATTATTTATTACCTTCCATGAATATAAAATCCGTAATAATTATATTCCAAGATAAATACACTGATATTAGCAATTGAACACAAATCAACAAATTGTTGCATTTGATTCTTTATAAATCTTTCGTAAAATATAATGGATATTAAGTATTGAATAAAATAAATTGTAATATATACTATAGCACAAACAGCATACTGTAGTGAAAAATTCATTCTCACCTCAGGATGCTTATTAATTGTTATTTCTGGTATAGCTAGGCTCCAATATTTTACACCTATGACCTAAAAGTTGAAAATTGGTTAAAATTTATTAGCACGAATAAAATAAAAGAGATATATTATATTAATATTGAAACGAATTTACCTCTAAAACAAACAAAGTACTAATTAATTGTAACGATATATTTATTCTTCGTTTTGTTAGTAATTTTAACCATTCGTTAGCAACAAGATATGTTCTCCAAATACTAACTGACATTTGAGTATTATCTTCTCTTTGCATTGAAGATTTAGAAATAGAATATGTTTCTTGAAACTCTTCTTCTTCTACAGGTTTGAAAATTTTGCTAGGTGCACCTTTTTTGCTTGCTTTTTTAAACGTTTTATTTCTTCTAGCTGCAATAATTTCAGATGGAGTTTTTGGATTCTCGTCTTTACCGTCAATTAATATATTAGTATACAATTTTCGAAATGAAGTATAAGGAGAATCGTACTTTGATGAATCACGCATTATTTTTGGCTGTTCCCAATCAATGAAAAATATGTATATGTCCCAATGTTGATAAATGAATCCTATCATTTCTACGATCTGCAAAATGAAATAATTTTAAAATAATGAATTATAAATTATGTTTATATAGTACTGTATAACATAAACTTACTTTTAAACAAAATCCAATTATAGTAAAGATCTGTATATTTTGTTCATTAGACATGTTTGGAAGTAATGTGTATGGGATCGTTTGCCCTTTAAAAAATATAAATAAATATATGCATATACTAATTGATATAATAATAAGGGTGTTTCCCATAGCACCCATCACATATATAAAGAACCATAATGAAACTGTTACATTAGGAATACAACTATAGTTTTTTTTACAATATGTCCAAGTTTTTAATGCTGAATTAATAATTGCTATGGTTGATAAAACACCAATAAGTATCTAAAAATGATTTGGATACATAAATCATGATTAAAACTGAAAGATATTGAAACTTTAGAAAATTATTAGTTACCTGAGTATTAGAATTTATATGATTCTCCTTTAAAGCAAATGTTACTTTATAATTTATTACAACTTCTACGTTTCTAGAAATTTGTTGCTCCGTTAATTCTCCGTATTCTATAATCACTAAGGGCGGATAAATTTTTCCACGAGGTTTACTGGTTTGAATATTTACTCTAAAATCAAATAATTACCTATAATGTTATATACGAATGTATTTGAATAATATTCAAAAAATATAACTTACAAGATAGTAAATGATTTCATGTAACGAAGTACAGATAAGTTAGATTTTTTTAGAAATGTTCCAGTCACAAAATTTGGTAATGCTTTAATGCCACTTATATTGTCTACCAAAAAGAATTTTCTAACAAGTTGATTCTCCGATATATCGTAATCATTCTGAAGTATAGAAAGAATATATAAATTATATAAATGAATGCATTGATATACTAAATTTGATATAAAGATATTTTTTACCTCGTATTCTTTTTTTATATTAATTGGTACTGCATGGGAAAGAACTTTTTCTTCCTCTTTGTATGTTAAATAGAGTTGTTGAAATTGTACCTCCATATTTAGGAGATCCTTTACAGTGACTATACATTTTTTATTAAGATTAACTCCAAATCTAACGTTTGTAAGGAAATGACAAGGCATGCTTGGACTACCTATTTCAAGTAGCTTGCCTTCTAAAGAAAATGTTGCCATTGTAAAATTCAATGTATTGTTCTAAAACAAAAAACGTCTTGATTTTACAGAAAATCACCTGATTTTTCTAAAACAGATATAATAAAAAATGTGTATACATCGTCATCCTTTTTCAAACTGTATATTTGTGAGATATTTTTGGTATTTAATATCAGTGATGTTTCATCTTTATTGTAAAATAATTTGACCGGTGCCATATGTGTTTGCATAAATAATGCACATTGTACGCTGCTTACATATAAAGTTAAAACACATATATGCGATAAATGTTCACAAGACAACTTGTCTTTATTCTGAAAAATTATATTAATAAGTTCATAATCAGGGACATTTTTAAAGCTTTGTAAGATTAATTTTTTACTTACTTTACAAAAGTACATAGCTGCTTGTAATTCGGTTCTAAGGTAATAACTGTCTACAGTCTTGCTTTGAAATTTTATTGTGTAAGTACTTTTAATATCTGGCCAATCCGCTAGATTATCTCTGTTTAAACAATATCCTTGTATTTTAACATGCGATCCTAGTGGACAAACACAATTTTCTTGATTTCTATTATCCAAGTTATTACATGGCAAACATTTAGAATTCGCATTAGATGGATATGTATTTTTTGGACACGGAAGACATTTTATACTGTTCAATAATGTACCATCCCAGTTTCTTTCCACTGTAGAAAACAAGTTTAAAATATAGTTCGCATTAATTTATGCATAAGTATATTAAGCATATATGTATTTTTATAGGAAGTACTTAGTATATCGTTGGATGAACATTTGCAAATATTATTTGGACAAACAATACAGTCCTTGCCATCAGTAGTTACAGTTTGATTATAATTACATTTTGCACAAATGGGATTACCATTTTTAAAACCGATTGTTTTACTAAATTTATTGCAAACGCATCGTAAATCTGTAAAAAGTATTAAATAATTGATCAAATGAATAGATACAATAATACACAAATAAATTGTAAACATACAATATATATGTTAGTACATTTATAAGAAAATAAAAAATTATGATAGATTAAGACTTACGATCAGTACTGGGTTCAAGAAATTCGAAGATATTACATTTGCGACAAGAAAAATATTTCGTATCAAAGTATTCGTCATTTTTACATAAATTAGGTTGTGATATTTCAAAAATTTCATTATTCGTACCAATCGTATCGTCAATTGTTACAAGAAATACTATAAAACATAAAATAATAAGATTATTGTCGAAGTAATGCATTCTTAGATAGCCTTTTACAATTTTGTTTATACTACATAGTCGTTTCTATGGCAACAAGATGACTACAAGCGTAACTGAGGGATATGAATGAGATTTACGCGAATTTTATGTTCCTTCGTCACAGACACATTTTCTTAGTTTTTTAAATTATATAAATATTATTTATTTAAATTTACTAATATTTTACATTAACAGTAAAATGTATGTAAAAAATAGACGGCTTTAACGAAAGTGAATTTTTCTTCGTGCCCAGAATGACAAGATTTCCAAAATATTACTATATTTTGTTTACTATTGAATTGAAGGAATTACTATTGAATTTTAGGATATCATTACTTAAATACTATGGTGTCCGATAAGCTAATATCGTAATACATATCAACGATACACGTGATTTATAGTAAGTAAAGCAGGGTACCGTGTCAATGATATAGTTTCGAAACAATGATGCGTAATTTAAATGTGTGCATCGCGATTGATATTTGCCTCTATTGCGATTAATCTAAAAATAAAATTATCCTAAAAGAAATATACATACATACGTATTTATTTAAAACGTATATGTTTTTATTGCTTAAAAAATGTTGATCGACAATATAATAAAAATAAGTTTTAACAACTTTATTCTCTTCAGAATTGACAATGAAATTATAGTTCATTATGAAGCAGGAACCGACTTATAATCTCTTGTATACTAATCGAAAATACTTCGACGATTTGCTACAATTAACGACGTCCTTGCGCCAACATCGAAAATTCAACAAGAAATTCACGCCAAAGTGACGTATTATGTCCATTCGTTTTACAAGATACAAGGATTTTCCCGATTTTACGCAACGTTCTTTGCCAAGATACGTATGTAATTAAATATTTACGCATATATAGGTATTCTAATAGTTTTCAAAGGTACGCGCGAAAATCTACGTTCAAATAAACGAGAGATCGATAAAGATCGAAGTTTTTTTTATCAAAATGGCGGCACTACCGGGAAACTCGAAAGAAAGTTCGAGATAAAAATTCTTGTATTCATTTAGGGGGAACGATGGATTTGAGTAATAGAAAAGAATGAAGACAAAAAACAAATAGATAAAGAAAGAGATGAATAGATAAATAGATAGATAAAAAATAGAGAGAGAGAGAGAGAGAGAAAAAGTAAAAAAAGTAGCACGAGGACAAAGTGGCGAACTTGCAAGAACTACGTGCATAGGCGCCTGAAGAAAGGGACGATAGTATGTTGTACAATAAGAAGCAAAAACAACGGTTCACTTAGCATTTCTCGTGCCAAAGGTTCCCCCACCAATTTTGAAATCAAAGGGACACGAGCCCCGAGAAGTAGGGGTACATGAGAAAATGTTATAAGCGAAAATAAAAGCAAGAAAGAAGGCAAGGTCCCCGCGAGTGGCAAAGCTTCGAAGCCGAGAGGGTAGTTTTTTTTCAGTTTGTGCAGGTGCTTAGTCGAGCGAGCGTCGTAGCACAGGTATATCGAATCTTTTTATCCTCTTTTTCTTCTTCTTCTTTTTCTTTTAACTTCTTGTTCTTTTTAAAAGGGATTCGTTTTGTTCTATTGTTTGAGAGAGACTTTATTTTAATTTTGTTTTTTCTTTCTCTCCGATATAAAATCATGATTAATCGTGATTGGACAATTTGTTGACAAGGTATAAAAAACGAAGTGTGGTGAATAATATCCTGCGGTGTAATAAATCTTTTTCTTTTCTTTCTTTCTTTCTTTCTTTGATAATTCATATGTTTTTATTTTCGTTAAAAAAGATCGATAGATAGGAATAGTCAAACGACTTGTTGCGGCCTTAATGTGGCCTGTTTTTCCACGAGACAAATATACTTCTCTTGTCTAAATATAACAATTAGGATCGAAGTTGACGGTATCGCGCTTGAGCGATCAAGAAACCGAGAAATCGTGTCTTATATCGTAGCTTTTAATTAAAAGAGAGAAGGGGAGGGATTACATAAAGCTCGTCTACCTTCGATCGATCGCAATGAATTTGCAGACTCTCTGAGGAGAATCGAAGAAAAGGAATAAGAAGAAAAATAAAAAGGAAGTCAAGAATAAAAAAAAAGTCAAGATGTGGGATGATGATACTCCTGCGTGGGAATTCGAAGAAACGCCAGCAGAAGAGACTGCAGAAGCTGCAGAAGGTGCCGCGGCTGCTCCAGCTGAGGGTGAAGCCGGTGAAAAACCAAAAATCAAACTCGAAAAAATCGAACCTCCGAAGTACAATCATCACTGGGTGCGCCCATTGTTTCTAAATTATGATTATATTTATGATTACAGGTAAGAAATAATAATTTAAAACTACGTGAAAAGAAGTGAGGTGAAATGAAATCAGTTGTGATTAAAATGAAACGAAGTAAATAAATAAGAAACTCGTGATTGTCTCATAGGCAAAGCTATTACAACGACGTAATTGACTACCTCAATCAAAGAGCGAGGGGGGTATTCCGTGAACCTCCAAGAGCACAAGAATGGGCGGAAAGGACTTCGAGGATGTACGATGCAAAGAATATCGATAGGAGTTTCAAGCGATCAGCTGATATGAAATACATTACTAAAATGGATCTCTTGCCACGACATTATAGCTACCATACGCGAGCATATTATAGTTTGAAGTATCAACAAATTCTTTGAGATATTATTTTCGATTAAGAAAGATCGGCGATTAACGATCTTACACATTTGTTCTTCGTCGATGCTGTTATTTATTGATAAAGTCATTGGTAAACTGTTAATCCTTCTTTTTTTTTTTAATCAGTTTACCTGTAAATCCTGGGATTAATTTTATTTCCTTACAAAATAAGGATGTTGTATTTTTAAAATGAATTGTAGTCTCGATAGATATTTATTTTAATTATTAGATCTTTCTTTCTTTCTTTCTTTAAAATTGGGTGAATGGTCACGCTTTATCTCTGACCAAATACATTTATTCAATAGCACTTCTTCGTCTAGTTTTTGTTTTCTGTGCAATCTCATTTCTAAATAACTTCGTTTCGATTTCATACGCGTATTCATTTGTTTTCTTAGATATAGTTGTCATGATAAACAGCAATTATTTGAACATTCGCATTAAACTCCGATATCCTTTTATTCAATCGTATCTGCAAATTTATCGTCATTAATTTTATGATATATATATATATATATATATACAGCTCTGACGTGCTCGTGTACTATGGCTATTGTATGTGTACTATTACTATGAATCGGTATTATAGAATACACACGTGCACTTTTAATAACGAAATTTATAAATGATTTTATTCCCTTTACTTTTATCCTCCTCAATTTTTTAAATATCATAAAATTTTAGGGATTGGGAAGGGGGTAAGTATCATCGTGTGCATACGTTAATAATACAGGAACTTACGTACGAATGAAAATGAGTTTTCGCTTTTTTTTTTTACACGGAATTAATGACAATCTAAAAATAACAATAATTTAAAATTTTATTGTAAATATATATTCGCATGAAAGTTTAACATAGCCATTTTATATTCAGCTATTACGACATTAATGGATATGTATACATATACATATATGTAAATGTAAATGAATATGTATATACAGTTTACAATGAAAATACACATTTGAAAAGGGTGAAATCGAATAACAAATTCATAATTCCGATTAAATCGCGATAATGGATAAAATGCATTTTCCTTTTTTGTTTGTTTTTTTTTTTTCTTTAAAAGGAGACGCTCTTCTTCCGTTTCAGAAATTTTCTTTTTATCGGCTGCATGGCAATTACATCTAATGGATCTTCGATAAATTCGTTAGCATCGGCTAAAGAGTTTAATCGCGATCTTTCTTTCGAAGCTCGAGGGATTGTTGTTTTTTCCGGTTCTGCGTTCTGCGTTCTTGCCCATTGTAATATTATTTGCGGTTTGGCTTTAGATTTATCTGGAACGAGTTCCAAGTTAGCTAATTTTCTTGATCTATCGAGTTTCTGCGTTAAAGTAACGTTGTCTTGATCGTCCTCGTTATTGTCGAATTTAGTTGCGTGTTTTTGGAAAGCAGTCCCGGCGGCCTCTAACGTGTTCCTAGCCTTCTCAATTTCGGCGTTCAAATCGATGACGTCGAAAATACGATCCTGAAATGAAAGAAAAATTGTCGATATTAAAAGAAAATGAATATCATCGATCTTTGTTATATAACTCTTTCGTAGATCACTGGAAACTCATGGAAAATTCCAGCTTATAAGAACGATTTAAAAGTGCATACGCGTAAATAATAAATAAATCAGCTCGTTCCGCACGCATTAAGAGGGTATTTTGGTTTACAGGATTTACAAAAAGTCTATCTCAATTGTTTTTGAAAATCTTGAAAATAATTTTCTTCAACATTCAAAAATAATATACGAAAAATCGATCACGTTCCAATCGGTCTTAGTAATTTAAAACCGTGTACAGATAAATAAGAAATCCATTAGTTCCAAAGACTATTTATACGACGATTCTCCCTCCATTCATATATTCCTTTCTTTTTCTTTTCATTATATATTTTGTGCAATAAGAATTTATTTTTGTTTCGTCTAACTCTGATAAAAAATGACAGCTTAACATGTTTCATTGCTACATCAAAACTGTACGAAAACAATATGACTTTTTTAAATAAAAAAAACATTGTCTCTTTTTTCTTCGAAACGTTATATAAATAGAAAAAGGTCGAAATCGTCCGGCAGCCGTTCGCTGGAAAAAAAAGTATTTTTTAATGCAACACGCGAGTCCGCGTGAAGAGGCAAATTTCGTAAGTATTGCAAAATAAGTACTTTACGAAAGTTGTTTGAAATAAAATCAAACGTTCAAAAATGAGCGAGTAGAAATGAGAATTAAAAAAGTATTCGTAAAAATCGTAGATATGAAAAAAAAAAAACAAAAAAGAATCTTGTTGCCTAAACCAGAATACCCTCTCAAAAGAAGTGAACCTGCATGTCTCTTCTCTTGCGTCTCAATTCGGCCAAATCTTCCTCGAAGGCAGCCGCGGCACGTTCTTTGTAATGGCGTTGATTCAAAACGAAATCATCTTCGAAATCGTCCTCCGGAAGTGCTCTGCCACGTCCGTCGAAAATAAAGTCCAGATCGTCGTAATAATCGCCACGATTTCCCGATACGTTTCGGGAGCCTGAAATGTTAGTGGGAAGGTGTTAACTAGTAATAAGGATAAAATGCTAAATTAAGTTAAATGCCTGTAAAAATGTGTTACAGTTAAATGTTTACACAATCAGGATGACTTATGTAAAAGTGTTACAAAGATTTTATATTTTTATTATATCTTTTTGCTTTTTTATTTTTTACTTTATGTTAAAATAAAAGGATGATATTTCGAAAACGGTATTATCGGGTTTGGTAAATATTAAGTTACGACGCGGAAAAAAATTAATTTTAAGTTGATATTTTTAACTGTTGCGATGGAAACTGTTCGTAACGTTTTACGTTGGCCATCCTGTATACATTGATATCTATTTTTGTGTATCGTTAAACGAGTCAAGATTATATCTCGGTTGTATTTAGTAACACCTTAACGTCTAATCTCGTCGTTAGATTTTATTACGTCATTACACAAGTAACAATCAAATTGTATCTTGCTAAAGTAACATGCAAGAAGAAGAAGAAGAAGATAATTGGATACGTACATGCCTGAGAAATGCGAATTACAAAAGCATGGCAGGATAAATCAACGATGAAGAATACAGCAATACGATATCAATAAAGGTAGTACATGTTTTTCCTCAAGTTTTACAACAAAATTTATTGGTATACGAGAAAGAAAGAAGATATATATATATATATATATATATATATACAGTAGCGTGCAAACATAGAAGTAGTTTCTTTCTTAATATTTAAACTTTACAAGAACACTTACTATATACTGTAATATATTTTTGTAATGTACATATGTATATAGTTGATTTAAAAGTCTTTTTTTTATGTTTTTTCTTTTTCTTTTTTTTAAATCTTTTTACGTAAACGTGCATTCCCTTCCGCATAGAGACAATAAAATATCGTGAAATTATTCAAAAAAACAGAGAATACGAGGATGGTGGTTACAATAGTTTTTTGTTGGTGACGTAAGGAAGTAATTGCTTTATCTTATAGATTTAGAGTTATAGATAACTCTACGTGATTGTCTACGCATAGATCATAATAATCCTTTTACTCAAAGTTACTTAATTAAACGATAGAGATGAATGAAAGAAAATGAAAAAACTACTACCTGTATCCTGTAAATTAAAAATACATAATATCGATGATTCGATGTAAATGAAAAGTATTCATTAACACGTCTTTATTCAAGACGATTTTTAAGCAATGCGCAATAAAGATAATCGACTAATAAAATAAATAAATTTCATGGTAAATTGGTGAATTTTATAGCGGGTAAAGTGAGGCAAGAGCATCGTGATCGCAATGAATAGACAGATAAAAAGAGAGAAAGAGAGAGAGAGAAAGAGAGAGAGAGAGAGAGAGAAAGAGAGAGAAAGATCACGAGATAGAGATAACTAAAAGGTAACATGTTTTTCGGTGCGTTCGTTACGCATGGAAATTTTTTTGCTGCTGCTAGTGAGGGCGGCAGAGGATCGTTGATATTCGTCGATAATAGGAGGGGAAGGAGGTGATGAAGTTGCGATACTCTCGTTGACGAGCGCCCTCAAAGCAGCAGCTCTGCGTTCTCTCTTGGCTTGTCTCTCGGCCAACTCTTCCATCTCGGTTTCGAGATCGTCGAGACGTGCTTTCGTTTGCTTAGCTCGAGTGGCAGCCGCATTAGAGAGCAACGTGTCCTCCTCATTATCGTTTATCAACTTGGACCACCTGGTCAAAGATATGGGTGGCTGTTGTTTTTCTAAATCATCGCCGATCGATGTTAAAATCTTTGAACGTCTTTTATTGAACGCCGAGTCGGCTTCCTCGATCTTCTTATTGAGTACGGAGTCCGCTTCCTGATCAAGTTCCATCGCTGCCACCCTAGCCTTGAAACGACGCGTCGTTGAGGCGACCTCATTCGCGAAATCATCCGCGAATTTCCGTTGAGTCCTTTGTCCGCGGCTATCGTAGACGGTCTCCTCCTCGTCACCAGGGAGTAGAAGAGGGTTGTGCTCGGTGCTGATCAAGGGTGCTAGTACTTGGGAGGCACGGGTACGAGGGTCGAGGTCGAGGTCAAGGTCACGCCCGAAAGTGTCGTTCCGAGGACCAGAAAGGTCTCGCGAGCCTGCAAAAACCGACAGAATTTGTTCATCTCTTCGCGGACCTAACCATCTATGTTATACATACATGTGATATGTGGTGATGAACGTAATTGATCCTATGTTCTGTCAGACTGATTCTTAATCAACCAAGTATCCTAATATTGTCTATACAACCGAGATATATTTACAAATTTGATTGAATTATGTTGAGTATTCGATAAATTATGTGATGTTCATCGCGAATTATATTATGTTGATCAATGAAATAGTTTATAATTTTTAATTCTATTCATTTGATTGCTTAATGTGTTCTCGGCATAATTCCTACAACAGATTAATTCGTTTAGATTTATCGACAATAATTCTATTTAAGGGACACTCAGTTTATTCGACAGAAAATGAATTACTCAGTTTTAAAGAGCATATGATCAATTTTGTGGTTCACCGTAATTCCCTATTCTCTATTACGTCTATTCACTCACATCTATTACTCAAGTATTTACAAACGATCCTTCCTTTATCCTGCTTGTCTGCTCGTTTCTCTCGTCCCAGGGAATTTCTATTTATCGAATTTAATCCTAAATTCATTCATCTATTTCTACCATTTCCCCTGGGATATGATTTCGATTTGGAACGACGTTCGAAGATAATCGAAAATATCTTTAATTTTTTTTCATTACGCTGTTCCTCGACTCGAGTACGAAGCAATCTTTACCTGTAGCTTATTATTATTACTTTCTTTTTCTTTTATTTTTCTCCTTTTACAGCCTCATCACAATTGTTTATTTTACGCGACAAACGGCTTTTAGACTTTCGTCGGCATGAAGTCATATATTTAGAAAAAAGCAAACGTTTATTCGTCAAACAGAAGATTATACAATGATTACGGACAATAATCGAACATTGAGAATAACTACACACACAAGAAGAATAGAAATGAAGATACGTTTAGGTATGTATCCTCGATCGTTGCTCGATCTCGTTAATTGTGAAATATTATTATTCTTGTTTTCCATATATATTGAAAATTGAAAATGTATTTATATTTTTGTTTGTAAATTAAATTATAACATTCTATGTTATCGGAGGATAAATTCTCAAACGGCACGCATCTGACGAACGTGTAACGAAGGAGAAGTTTATCTTTATAAGGAAAAAAAAAACATGCTATACGATGGATTATAAAAGGGATAGGATAAATGTATCTCAATTATTCATCATTTACAACGGATCTATTGAACACCTCGGCAACATTTCAAAAAGGGGGCGTAGGGGGGTACTTTCATTCCTCAAAACCATTTGGGAAAACGACTGAAGAGGTTACCGATGTCGCCTCGACGGGCCGCGATTTCATCGGCTACCGACGATCTTGGCTCGGAGAATAAGGGTCGAGCACAGTACTTCCTGTCCAAGTGGTCAACCATTGGCTTGTAATAGGACTCCCCCTTGTCGTAATTGCATCCATAAACGCGCGTACGCGGCCTGCTAAGTATTGGCCTCGACATATCTGCGGCACACTTTTTTCTTTATTTCTGTAATAAATCAATTATAAATTCATTCAATGAGACAATTCTAATTATCATACAAAAATATATGGATATTGTTTATTTAATACGATTTGTAATTCGCGCGAAAGTAAATGATACGGAAAATGAGAAAAAAGATAATCATTTCTTCTCGTGTCACATGTATCGAGACACTCGTCGTATTTTATTTGGCAAAGATCCAATAACTTCGTGCGTCTTCGTAGGATTGTGAAAATCAACGATGGAAAAGGCGATGATTATGGTGGCGCGTGGTTGTAACGATACGATATGATGGTAGTAGAAAGGATAGAGAATGAGAAAGGTTCGGTTTCTCCTATTTACAATTAGATAAAAAGGGGGAGAAAAATAAATGAGAGAGAGATAGAGAGAGAAAAAGAAAAAAATAGAAGATTCTGAGTGTGAGGAACCAGTAAACTGGAACGAGCAACTATCTATATACTGCTCTCAAAAATAGACCGCATCTAATTTGGTGCCCGTGAACCGAACTGGCACGGTACACGCGATCCCGGGACAACCGAGACCAAGTACCAACAGTGTAAAATCCCGAAGAATCGTTCTTCCTTGTCTTCTTCAGGGGCACTCGAAACTACAATCAAACGTTTGGAGAATAGCAAGAGCATAGCATCATTACCGTTATTATTTTCTTTACGATTGAACAATTTCGACGGAATAAACTAAAAGTGTAAACGCGTAAATGTATTTTCAAATTCTAAACGCGACAAGATGCCAATTTTTGCACCAGCTGCAACAATTTGTTTTATAATTTGAAAGGTATCAACTGTCGTCTCTGGGTGTGATCTTACTCGGTAAACGAAAACAATTGCCATGATCGCTCTTCCAAATAGTTTCCGATTACACCAATTATTTTCATTTGATTTACAAATCTGGATATATGCCCGCGTTTTATAGACGCAGAAAGAAATAATACGATTATGATGTTTCCTTGGACGTTTCTACTTTATTATCACGATTCATTTATAAAGAAAATCTTGTCAACAATTCGTTCGTATGAGAGTACAAAAGTCGAGATACGTAAGTAGTAAAATACTTGTAACATCGAAATCCGTGCAAGTTCGAACGAGGTGGCCCAAATGATTAGCAAACGACAAAACTTGATATGTAAATACTTCGTACGTGTATAAAAGCTATTAATGCATCCACCGATTAGATCGTTCACTCGACTTAATTGGCTTCTACATATATTTGGCTCGTCTATAAGCCAAACGTATTTGTAATTTAGAACAGAGTTCTTTGTTGCTCAATCTTTCTTTCATGCCCGTGCTCGGTATTTTACTATGTGTAACGATATAGAAATCGTGTGTTTACACATGAGATATCGAAACCATGAGTCTAATTAAGAGAAATATTCAAAGAAAAGCGAATTAATTAGGAAATCAATTCGTCTCGGGGACGAGTAAAATGATTACGATGAGAACGTATATCATTTTTAAATTATTATTATTATTATTATTATTATTATTATTATCATTATTACACACTGTTATATTATAGATCATCAGGTTACCTTTATGATAATTTATTAGAAGCTTTAATGCCATATCAAAAAATATATTCCGAGGGCTTAGCCAACACACTCTCGTCCTCGTAAAATACAACAATAGAAATACGAAGCCGTTCTTTGACACGATAAAAATTGGCGAGTATCGTTACTAGGGCATCCTTAAATTAAATCATTTAAAACGAACGATTAAGAAATGCCAAAATTTACGAGACACGTCGCGGAAAGACATGGTGATGTTAGTGACATGCTAGACACTTTAAGTGATAACGGATTATACTCTACTAAAATGTAATTTTAACTGTTTTAGATTATGAGTCAGACCTCCCGGCGAATCACTTAAATATTTATGTACATTATGTGTACTTTGTTTTCTTACGAATTCGTTTCAAATATAATCGTCTTTACGCAAATCCCCTTTGAGGAATTGTTGACTTATTTTCGTTTTACATATATATATGTATATTAGTTATTTATACATATCAAGATTTTCTGATTCATTAAATTAAGATGCCGAAAGTGATGCGATCGCGAAAGAATGCAAAAGTTTATTACAATAAACATTTTTAAATAACTTTTATTCTACTCTCTTTATTTTTGTACACATAAAAGCGATCCTCTAATTTATTTTAACGAAATAATCATTTAAATTTGTTCTATCGATTTGAATCATGATCGATTAGAATTGTATCTGGAATTAGTATATACAGTATTCATGGTGTTACGCTTCTACCGCTAGTACGTTGCGTAAGATCGCCAGATTTAGACTGAGAGCGTCGTTTAAAAACAGTGATATCGATTACAAAATTATCTAAACTATGATTCTTTGATAAAAAGTTGTTCATTTTTTTAGAAATCATTGCAGGATTTTTGAACGACTTTATAAGTCCGTCCTATACAATACAAATGCATTCACAAATACTGGACTATGTTAATCGTAAGATGCAAATAAAACATTTAGGTATTAATTAATGATTTAATTGTTTTTCTCAAAGAATAATAACTATTTTACCCGCAAACAATTAGATTTATATTAAACAATTTTATCTTTGTTTATTTCATAGTTAATTTAACATGAACGCTATAAATTGGTAAATCATTTGCAAACGTTTGAACTTTGAATATTTTTAATTTTTGAATATTTTTGAATAATTGTTATAAAAAATAATAGCAGGAGCAAATCATGTATTTAAAAAAGAGAATGAATAGAAGAATGAAAAAAATAGGTCACTCTTACCTGAGTGATTGTTACAAGGTATCCCTTAAGGTGCTGTTTCTTCGGAAGTATAGCCGCGACTCCCACGGTCGTCGCGATGCCCGTTGTTTCCCACTCCCTTGGGTACTACCCCTTCCTCTTTATGCTTCCTACTAGGATGCTATTCCCAGTAATTTATTCATACCCTGGTGGGCGTTCGCCCACTTTTATCTTCAAGTTCTTCAAGTTCTTCAAGATTTTTCCCATTCCTCTGGCACCACCTAATATTATTTCATTTCATTTTTTACGATACAGATTTCTTATATATATATATTTGTATTTTATTTATTTTATTTATAATATTTTAATAATCTAAGTATCTTAAGTATTGTATATTGTTCAATTGAATACAGTTAATCTTTGATTTTAATTCAAGTTCACACGCGAATGGAAGAAACAAGATTTATCTATGCATGTATCTATCTACTTATACATGTTTTAATAAATACATCATACAAGGAGTGGGCATAAATTAAAATATATGCAGTAATTTATTGTTTTTACTACGTTCCTTCGAATATCTGATCTATTATAAGCTTGAAATTATCGGCGAATATAAATTTTCTGGCAAGAAGCACCAAACTCGAGTAGCGCGCTTTTTCAAATCTCGAGTTTCTCTAAAACGTTTTAGATGGCGCTTAAGTTGATAACAAATGAAAGTAACTTGGTCATGTATAGTGTATATGAAAGAAAAGGGAAATAAGTATAAGCACGTGTATTTCTGTACTACCGAAGTGTTATTTTCAAACAATATAAATATTAAAATGATAGATTGTAATTAAAAAGAGTTTATTTAAAAAATGTCAACGATGATTAAACAAGTTATTTCCAATAGGATATTTTTACAATTATCAAGTTTATGTCGTTTTAATCGTATCGACAAATTTTCTCACAATATTCCAAATGATCAAGATAATATTTTAAATAAAAGAACAACAATTGATGAAAAAACATCAGACGATGAATTAAATAATACTTCTAACGAGCAAGAACTTAAGCGTCTTCTTAAAGAAGCTGCCACTTACAATGATGTTAAAGATACAAATTGGACTACAACTCCTTATCCTGCTAATGCACCAACCTCTGTGGAAGAAGATAAAATAGAGGTACCTAAAATTAACCCACAGGAAAGAACAATAATACTTTTTCCTGGACAAGGGACTCTTAAAGTTGGCGCGGTTGCAAAATATTTGCATTATCCTGCTGCAAAAGAATTATTTGAAATAGCTAATGAAATTTTAGGATATAATCTATTGAAGATATGTTTAAAAGGTCCTCAAGAAAAATTAGATCAAACAAGGTTTAATCAACCAGCTACGGTTGTTTCATCGTTGGCTGCGTTAGAAAAAATACGCGAAGACAGGCCAAAAGTATTTGAAACTTGTGCGAGTGTTGCTGGGTATAGTGTTGGCGAATTGAGTGCACTGATTTTTTCAGGAGCTATCTCTGTTGAAGATGGTATCAGATTGGTGGCAGTTAGGGGTCAGATGATGCAAGTTGCATCCGACAAAGTACGTCAAGGAATGTTATCCGTTTATTGTTCTCCTGAAGCCAAATTATCTAAGATATTACAAGATGCTGTTTCTTGGGCTGTAGATTTGGGTGTGCCTAATCCTGTATGCAAAGTATCTGTTTATTTATATACTCAGAGTAAAATAATAGCTGGAAATGAAGAAGCATTGCAATATATAGAAAAGAATGGCACGGCTATGGGTTTAAAAAGAATGAAGAGGCTTCCAGTTTCAGGAGCTTTTCATACACCGCTTATGCAACCAGCCTTACAAAAATTTTTTGAAGCACTGGATACGGTAACGATAGAAGAACCAAGAACTGAGGTATATTCTAATTATACTGGGCTTCCTTATAGACATTTACGAAGTATTAAAGGATTGTTATTGAAACAAATTGTATCACCGGTAAAATGGGAACAATGTATACAAAGAATATATAAGAGACCAGAAGGAGAATTATTTCCAAGAACATTTGATGTTTGCTCTAGTGGAAGAATGAGAACTATTTTGAAATTAATTAATTCAAAAGCAGCTATTTCTTGTATAGTAATTTAATAAAATATTGCTTATTTATAAGAATATAAACGTTTGCTAATAAATTAAGTTTAATGATATTTATTAAATAACAATACTGACAAAATGTTATATGTATATGAATAAATTTCTTTTTCTTTTATAATGTATACACATGTGTGTATTTTACATGTTATATCATTTCTTCTCTTAACAAAATTAAAATGAAGTTTTGTTGTATTAAAATTTTGAGACTAATAATTTGAAAAATTATAAAAATTCAAAATTATATTGTCTTTTTAAACATTCAGATGCTTGTTAGAGAGTATTTGTAAAAATAGAAACTTAGGTTAGTTATGGTTGAGTTTTGGAACACATGTATAGCGTCCCGCGTATCTCGCACATCTTGCGCATGTATACCATACCGTATATAATACCGGTATTACAATTTTTTTGATATTAAACGTTACAAAATAATCATTTCACCAACATCATGAAACTAGTAAGGTATGTATACTATTTAATAATAATTAAAGTTAAATTTTTTTTTATTACGAAGAATATAATACACATTTTTATACATATATATACTTCATGTTAGAATATGTACAAAATTAACCTATAAAGTATTTTCAAAATGAATTGAAGATATTGAAAATAAATTAATAAACATCTTCTATGTAATATATTTTATGTTATAGATTTTTGATGAAACTCAGTCATGAGACTGTAACGATAGAACTAAAAAATGGAACTCAAGTACACGGTACAATTACAGGTATGTTAACATAACCTTTTTTGGAAATTATTATTCTAAGTGTAGCATAAAATATTTTTCTGTACTATCGTATATTTTCGATAAATCATTTGCATATATCCAAGCATTATTTTAATATTTAATCTATATGTGTATATATAATTTGTTTTCGATACAAAATTATTTTGATTTAACCAATTGATTTCTGTTACAATAGGTGTTGATGTAGCTATGAATACCCATTTGAAAACAGTAAAGATGATAATTAAGAATAGAGATCCTATACAATTGGATACTTTAAGTTTACGTGGGAACAATATACGGTATTATATTCTACCTGAATGTCTTGCGTTAGAAACATTACTTATTGATGACACACCAAAGGCCAAGGCTAAGAAGAAAGAAGCTGCAAGAGGTTTGTAATATATAAATATGATATGTAATTACATACACACCAAAAATGAGTAAAAATAGGAACACGAAAAAAACAAATTATTTGTTACATTAATTTTTAGGAGCAGCACGTGGTAGAGGCCGTGGTGGTCGTGGTGCCAGAGGTGGTAGAGGAGGTAGAGGAAGAGGAAGAGGCAGACGATAGTAGCATTAAACTTATTAAGTATTTGAAATGATTCTTCCACATGTGGACAATTGAACAAAAATTGAAAAAAAATATGTTAATGCAATATATGCGATATGAGTAATTAATAAATTCTTTTCCATTGCGATTGTAGTAAATTAAAAATTAAATATTTGATAGTATTAAGTACAGTAAAGCAGTTCAAAATATTTTTGATTATAGCGTAACCAGTACAAAAATAAAAAATGATCCTTCGATTAAATATAAGTAAGATGTACAATTTTATAATCTTATATATAATGCGTGTGAATATTTTATCATTCCGAATATAACGTAATTTACATGTAAAAAAAGTAACAAAATTATTAAACTTACAGGAGAAATATTTTAAGAATAAAATTGTCAATCTTGTTTATGTATTAGAGCACGAGTTGCGTTATGATAAATCGTATCAATGTAATTTAATAACAGTAAATTATTCGTACTGAAGATAATCATTGGAAAAATAAACCAAAAATTCTTTTATTATAATTATAAGTCGAAGGCTATTCAAATAATAGATAATAGTTATTTTTTTATTTTGGTAAACATTTCTTCGAAAATTTTGTATATAATATAATATCGCAATTTTTCAATTTAAAGAAGTTTACCGATTTATGTGACCAACTTCAATGCGTTTTCTCATTAAAATGGTTCTAACCATTGCAACAAAAAATTTGCATGCTTTTAGGAAGAATGCATCTAAATAGAATAATGTAATTTTATTTCATCGAACTTTTTGACAAATTTTTCAAAATGTTTGTGTTTTATTATGTGGAGATCATCAAAAAGGGCTGTAGTTGGATGCATTCAATTAATTATGCGATGTGGTCGTAATAGTGCCGACGTAGATGACATAGATGATATATCCGAGTACGACATTCATGATGTTTCTGGTAATTGAATAAATTCATTTATAAATTGCATTGTAAATAATTTAATTAGTTAAAGAGACATAATGAAAGAGAAAATTCTTGTCATTTTTAAAACATTTTTATTCGAATATAAAATGTGTTCTATTAAAAGATAATATTGTTCATAAATAAATATAAATATATATATACAAGTGGAAGATGTTGGATAAGTTTCCCTTAAAAATTTTCTAATCAAAGAATTTTCCAAATTAAGAATCATCGAATAATTGTTAAAATATTTTCATTAAAAAAAAAAAAAAAAACAACAACAAGGAGATAAAGAGGGTACATTTTTGTTATTATAAGAAATTAATGTAATTTTTGCTATGGAGTAGTTATGTACAGTTTAGACTCGATGCATTATCGAGAAATCGATAGTAACTACCTCTTGTGACCGTGATATAACCAAACCTTTCACGGTTCAATGTCCACCAGTGCATTTCCAACCGCAAATCTTCCCTATGGCTTTGCAACAACGGCAAGAAAACTTGCAACATAGACCAGATGCGCCGGGAATGAGAAGACGTTCACCACCTGAAATTGTTTCTAAGATGATTCAAGCTTTGGAAGAATTAACGGAAACTAATTCGTTACCCGCTGTTGACAAGGTGCGCGGTTGTCATCAACTTAATTTCAGATCTTCCTTTCAACCGATAAACGAAGAAAATAGTTGACATTTTAATATGTATTTTAATATACAACGATGTGTAACGAGAACATCGTTCAATTTTAATAATATGTGATATTGAAGATAACTATCATTGTAGCGTTATCAAATATTTGTACATCTCATTGCTTTTATTTCTATCTTCTCATCTGTTTTTTGTCTCTAAACTTTCGAACGTTTTATTATTAACTTTTTCTTTTTTCATTTGCATAAGTTTTATTATCCATTTTAAAGTTAAACAATGTTTTGCAACAAAATAAAAAGATAATTACATCGTTAACGTTTACAACCAATCAAGCGAAAATTATAGGCTGCAGGTCTATATAAAGCGGATAAAACTTCAGGACAATTTTTTTCTAAGATTATCACATTATATTTCAAGTATATTCAAACTATTAAGTTTTCAAATTAATAAAAATAGCGTAGAACAATATTGCACACAAATAGTTTATAAGTATATGTATAATTATAAGAATACTCTGTTAATCGTTGATTTTCGTTTGAAACTTTTGTCTTCTACTGTATATTACTAGATTATTATTACCATCATCTCGTGGAATGAAAAAGCATATATTTTTGTTGAGTTCCTATTTGTTTATTTATTACGTTTAAATGATCGTTTTATTTGTATAAAAATATTTATGTAATGTAAAAGAGAGCAGTTAACATTAGAAAGGGAACACTCGTTAATAACAAATTACAATTGCTTGTTAAATTAAAGGATTGGTCGTATACCTTTAGGGTATGCCATATAGAAACCTAATCCTTTCACATTCGTCGTTTTTATTTACTTTCAAGTCGGTTGATTGAGTCCGAGTCTAAGACACGATTAGATACTATCGATACAAAAATAAAATTGACTCGAGATTATAGGCAGTATAAAATTATACGAAAAAAAAAAGATAAACAAAAATATATGTACGTTTATAAAAATCCAATAATTCCACAAGCTAATCGAGCTCCGGATGATCCAGTTTTAATACTTTCTTCGGTTCCTCCTCGACCAAAGTCATCAGGTTTTGCATGTATTACTAAAGCTCTTCCAACGGCACCACGAACTCCAACCAAACTCAAGTAACGATCCATACCATCGATTCGTGCTATTCCATCAGGACCAACCTCGACGTTACCCAAATCACCGACATGTCGCAACGGATCATTTGGTGCTCCATGATTTACCTATGCATCACACATAGAAATATAGATACGAAATATTGTGTAGAATGAAATGAAAAAAGAACAAATGTTTATTCATATTACCATGTATGGGTTAAAGTGCGGTCCAGCAGAATCACATCCTTTCCTAAGATCACCTTTTTCGTGAACATGAAATCCATGCAAGCCTGGACTCAAGCCTGTTATAGTTCCAGTTATTCTGACCCCATCTACTTGTTGTTCCAGTGTTAAGCTTCCTCTAGGACCATCTATTGGTGATCCATCTTTTCCGAGAGCTTTCATCTCAACCACTGCTTTCAATCCGATTACCTACATATTTCAAGACAATATAAATACAAAACATTGATCACAAATGAAAGGGAAGAAAAAAAAAAAGATGGAAAATCGAAGAAATTCGTTGATACATACAAAGAAATAGGGTTCCATGTAAACTTCGTACAGGTTGCTTCTACTTCCAGGGTAACCAGGAAGACTTCTTATGAACAGCGTCCTGTCGTTTATCGTCATCATCGTTCCCTCATAGACTTCGGCGTAGGTTCTCCATCTTGCCAGGAGGATTACTAAGATTGCGATTCTGAATAATTTGTGCATCTTTCTATGGTACACTAAGTTATTCTTATTAGAAAGATTCGTTCCTTCTCGAAGACGAATAACGTCTGTTGGATTTACTTTCCTGACTTCTATATATGAGTTGCGTCACCGACAAGTCACGACGAGGACAAGACCGGATTATGGTGCTGGAAGGCACTTGCACCGTGTATATAAATATCCGTAGGATATGTGAACTTACACATATACATCTGTATCATCATCTACAGGTAAATGAGTAAATATATGGACACTACTACTATTACTTTTATTATTTTGTAAAATTTACTTTCGTTTAATATAATAGTTCGATATTAGATTTTATTTTATTACATTGGTCCAGAGTAAATCAGTTGTTCGTTTTTTACCCGGCTGGATTTTGTTTTATTAGATAATTATACTATTTTGTATTGTAATTGTACTATTGTATTATTTGAAAAGTTTGATTGACAACGGTGAGAGAGAAGTGAGCTTTTGATTTTCTTGGATTAATTATAAATGAAATAGAGTTGTTTTCCATACCGAGGGTGTCACTAATCAATTTTGGCGACAAATTTTATTAATAATAATTTTCAGATAATACAAAATTTTAAAAGGAGTTCGAATATTCTTTTAATACTAACATTTTACTTACGTAATTGCATTTTTCAATTTGTCATGTCAATATTTTTCTTGAATTTCTTCAGAACTACGTTGCTGTAAATGGTGTATAATATATATATATATACACCTGGTTCATTGTCATATACCCACACACGGAAGTACAAACTTGATATGCGATGATGACGAGCGAGCAAAGTGAAAGCGAAACGAATCCGTTTTGACCTCGTCTTCGTGAAAACTCTACAAATAAAAGTATGTAATTATAAAGGTATATATATCTATCATTAATAGCATGCATATGTCAATAGATTTTATCTCGAAGAAGAAAAAGATTAATTGCTATAGGTAAAGAGATCTAATCATTTATATTTATTTAGCATTTATATATATATATTATATCATTATTATTATTTTTATATGTAAAATCTATATGAATATTTCCTGACTCTTCGCGAATTTCTGTTTAATGCTTTGCCATCGATACTCATAATAATATCTATGATTTATAATGAGAGGAACGTAATGTATTTGAAATTTGTTCGTTCGATAAAGGTATTTTTCAACAAGGAAAATTTAGATTATTGTTTATTTATAAACGACCTAGCATGCGTGAGTAATTAAGATAAAGGTATTTAATAACTGATTAAGAACCCCTTTTTACCGCAACATCATATTTACATCGAAGTAATTAATAAGTTCTATCGTGAGTTCGATTTCTGCGGTTTTTAAATGTCACGTGAATAATCGATAACTCAATATATGCGATATTTGTGGTAGATAAATACGTAAGATAAATATACGCATTATCAAAGTTTATATATTACATTCGAAATACTGCAAATTAATACGATAATCGAAATGGAAAAATTATTTCTAAAACTAATTTTATGACAAGCATATGTTATACACTTTTATTCTTTCAAAAATAATCTATATAAATAACAAATATATTACAAATTTTTTATTGCGAAATAATATTTTATTTTTAAATTGGAGTTGCTTTAATTAGAAAAAAAACGAAAACAATTTAAATTATTTTTATAAATACTAACTTATAAATTTAGAAATACATAAAAAAAACTTATTTCTTAATATAATTATTAAATATATAGATAGATATTTATTTAATTTACAGCCTGTTTGCCCAGTAAATGGATTTGGTTACTACAAATATTAGATAATAAATTACTAATTCATATATTACAAAAAATAATAAGTAAAGCATGGAATCGATTGATAAAAATAATCTTTAAACTTTGATAAAAATATCATACATGAACTAATCATATATGAAAGAGAAAGATTAGCTGTATACATTAACGACGTATGTTACGGTATTAGAGAGATAATAGATGTTACGCGGAAAATGACGATGTATTTGAAATTCATCTAATGATCGTTCGGGTCAAAAAGATTCTTCTTTACAATCGAAAGTATAAATTCTCAAGGAGAGATCGTAAAACAAGGTAAGCGGGCCAAGGAAGCTTTCTCGCGTTTATATTATATGATAACTCGATTAAAATATCTATTTAAAGATTTTGCTTAAAAGCCGGCGAGATTAATTGCGAAATCGTTAACGAATGAGTGTTTTATATTTTATCATTTTCTGGTTTGATAAACTAGTTGAAACAATTTCAATATCCTCAAATATGTTTCTAGGAATAAATTTTTGAAGTTGTTAAATCATATTTAATAATATATATATATAATTTACAATTTATATTAATTTATAATAATATATTTTAGTTTTAACAGTAATATTCATTATTTGTCGAATTTCTAAAAATCAAAAGTAATATAAAATAAAAAGTATATATATATACTTTATACTAATATAATTATACAATAATTACTTTTTTGTATAATTATTATGTTTTTATGATAAATTAGCGGTCTTATAGTAATCGTACAAAGTTCGCGAAACCTTGATGGTTACGACGAAGATGAAGACGACGATACTGGAGAAGGAAAAATAGTGGGGCACTGGTTACGACGTAGCTCTCTCGTTTATACATATACAAATCTCTATGTATATACGCCTAATACGTGGATGTAAAGGATACTACGCATATTTATGTGTACACCGACATGTAATGCAAGCTTGAGATAGGCCCCAGAGTGTCGTCTAAAGCGAATGTCGCACCTGCCTTTAGACTGCTTTCAGTTTCTTCGAGACAACCAAACACGCTGTACGTTCGATCGTTTTCTCTTTCTTAATCTTCCTTTTTTTTTCTCATTCGTATATTTTACTTTCGCGAGACACTCATCATCGATGAAAAAAAGATAAAGTAGAAAATTTCAAAGAAAGAAAGAAAGAAGAAGTAGGAGCAGAGGTAAAACCTAAAGCAAAGGGTACGCTTGTTTAAGTTTTTATCATGGCTTTTTTTTGTGATAAAATCAAAAAAGAAGAAAAAAAAAAAGGAAATAGTTTTTATCGCGTTAGTAACTTTTTAAATACACGAGTGTCACGCGCGCCGAGCCCCTAATCAATGCTGTCGAAATTATTGACCGTAAAATACTCGCAAATCAGTCTTTCGAGTTTTTGATTTTGTATAATTATAATATCTTATCATTCACATACATATATATATATATATATATATGTATTATATATCATATATCATATTACGTAAGTTTATTTTGTGTTAAATTTAGTGTTTAAAAGTTTTTTCCATTTTTTGTATAGCTATTGATTGAAAAGATAAATATATCGTTGAATAAACGGATTATAATACTTCTTGTGAAATCAACTCAGTCTTTTGGTAAGTAAAAGATTATTTTTATTATAATTATTTCAACCTAATGTTATATTTAATTATACGTATATTATCAATTATTTCTGATATACGTAGATGGGTTGAAAAGTTTTGAGCCTAACATAGAAACCATTTTTATTTATATCGTTTTATTATAACACTCGAGCCGTGAAAATAGTGTCGTATAACGTAAGAAAAAATATAAGAAAAGAAATAATGAGTTTCAAGTTACGTTGTGAAATATTTTATTAGAATTCGTATTGTCGAATGCTTGGAACGTTAGAAAAAAAGGTTAAACGCGAAAGTTCTATAAGACGTTCTATACCGAATTATTTATGGATTGAGTAGCTTATTGTTAGTCACATATTGCTTCGATCTATATATCGTTAGATGTTATGCCAAGGTTTATTTACTGGACATACAGGTTGTCCGATTAAATGTATGTTGCAACGATTAAGAAGAAATGTTTTAAACTTTGCAATAAAATTAAGTTTAAAGTATCTCTTGTTTTGTATTTTTACGATAATTTAATTATTATATTTGTAGAAAGGAAAAAAATATATTTAATTATTGCAATACATATTATAAGTATATATGAGAGTACTATACATCATATGCTTACATTGAATGTTTAATGTATTCGTTAAAACTATTACAAAAAATAAAATTGCCAAAATATTAATATTATTTAGGAATAATTTGCCATAAAAAATTAAACTTTCAATAATGTATATTCACTTATGAAAAAAATATTATGATAGTGAATATTTAATCTATTTTGAATAATTCATTTTTTTCTAAATTCAACCAAAAAACAAGATATTGCTTGTTAGTGTTTGAATCATTCAATATATATATATATATATATGTTACATAATGAAACGTTTCAAAGGAATTCCCTTATTTTACAGCATTGTTCCTAATTAGCCGCTCATTTAGATGATAAATGCTCGCCATTTATTCCAGTTATGTAGTTAAAAAGCGTGTATAAACATTACATGCATATTATTTTAATCATTGCATATATAATATATACTAATAGGATATATACACCCTATATATCGATCGAAAAATAAAATGTTATTATATTAGGAATTTTGATTAATGCGTGGATTTTATGTAGGAATAATAATAAATATTAATCACGTTTGTTATATAATTCCGATTAATAAAATATATGTCTCGTTGAATATAACTGTAAGCAAGTTAATTGTATTATCTGGCTATTAAAACAGATTGCAGATTGTGATGCAATATCATGGGAGTAAAGGAAAATTTGTCGACAGATAATAATATTTCATGTTTTTCTAAGAACTTAAAATAACATAAACGGACAATAATTAAAAGAATTTGATATTGCCGATTGAGAAATAATTTTATTTTTTATGAGAAAGACAATGTATTAGAGAATAGTTAGTTGTTGTAAAAATTCATTCTGTTTAACAACCTATTTGAATCCTAAGGAAAAATGACAAATAATGCTCTGGTAATTAATACTTTTTTGTTTTTTTTTTTATTTTATTTAAGTTGAAAAATTACAACGAGTAAAAAAGAAACAATATGCAATATTTCAATATTTTTTTTTAGATATTTCTGTAATTTGTACATACACATTCCACATCAACTATATACAAATTCATTGTTCTGTAATAAAGAATGAAAATGAAAAATATAATAAAAGTTACTTATAATAAGAATCCAGGAAAATTGTGCGTACATTTATCTCTCTCTCTCTCGAGAGAGAGAACAAAAAAAATCATAGCAATCAAAGTGCACGGTGACGCATTACGGAAGCGAAACGTTAATCGAATTTTGTCAATGCATCAATAAAAGACGGAAACAATAATTACAAGGATCCCAATTGTGCGAAATGCTACTGCGTAGTTAAACCGCCAATCGGAGCTCTGCAAATGCAATATCCGGTTTCCTTTATAAAGAAGATTCAAGCACACACAAAGGAGGTTTCAATTAGATCTGTAATTATCCCTACCACCTGACATACACGCACTGTTGATCTTCTTTAATTTTATCGTATCTAGTTCTTTATCTCTCACCTATGTAAATAAATTCACGTAATTAACTTTTGTCACTTTTAAATTAAATATTTATATATGTAGATGTTGATCGTAATTCGATATCGTTTTTCGACATCGACACTGCAGATATTTTGCTTAGTTTCTTTTTAAATTTCATTTTCTGAATTTTCGAGTTTAAACGGATATTGTTATTAATGTTATGTATATTATACATTTGAAATGCAATCAAAATTAAACATGTAGATGACAAAAATAGATCTTGTACTTAACAACGTGACTTTTGCGCGTATGTACGTGTTCGGAAATGTGCACATGTATTCAGTTCAAAGTGTCAAGCAGTTGTGAAATATCTCGTTCGTGGGTATGAAAAGGTTGAAGATAGTTAACAGATTACATGCAGATTCTTTTCGCACCTAATTATCATTTTGTCCTATAAATTATTTTTAAAAATGCATTTTATTGTAAGACGCAGAATATCTTATACATCGTACTGATTTTATTCTGACATATCATTCCGATAAATAATATGATAAACAATCTTGTTTTTCTAGAATTTTTATAATGCAGCAATCATTATATATATATTATCATTTTATTTATTATCTTAAAATTACTTATAATAATAAATAAAATCTTCTATCTTCCTTTCTCTGTTTCTTATTTTTTTTATATAATTCATGCGCTAATAGTTTCATTTTTCCTTCCTTTATTATTCATGTCATTAATTTCCAAGTCGTTAATGAAACATTATTAATTTATTATGACGATTCGAGTAAACAAATTAATAAATGCGCGAGTATGAAAGGAACAACGTAGAATATTTTATGTTTATTATTATTTTGTAAAAATTTAACTTTAAGCGAGGAAAAAAAGAAATGTATTTTTTAAATAACATAACGTTGTAGCATAACGATGTTACGATATTTCTTAATATATTTGGATAAATAATTTATTAGTCAATGTTAAACATACACATATACACACATATATATAAATCTTGGGCATGATAAGATCGAGAAGTGCTCGTGGTTCTTCCATTACCTCTCGCGATTATTCTATTAACCCAATATCCATTTATGCATCACTTCGTGCAATGCTACTTTGTAACGGATACGTCCAATCGTATCTCGGCTATAACACATTGTCTAAATAAGATCTAATTGAACCACAGGCTTGCACTTTGAAGTACTTGACTTTGGCAAAAGGCTAAGAAATTTAAGTAAATCCCGTTGTCTGTTTCCGACTTTGTCAAAAGACGCTTTCCATTAGGGACGCTGCCGGGGTATTGCTAGCATTGCCAGATTTTTCAGTATGTCGGTAACATATACAAGTATTACTTACGTCCTACGATCATCAAATCATTTACAAAGACAGCGGTGCATGCTCTTTTACGAGGTATTATACTTACGAGGTCCGTTACCGATTTACTAGAACATCGGAGGTGGGGATGTATACATAGAAGCTAATATAAGAGGAACACATGACACAGCATCCACAGTCAGTCATTCGGTGTTCGTATTATTCACTCGGCTTTTACGTTCGTTTTCTACTCGGTAGGTTTCCTTTCACTTTCTTCATCTGAATATTCATTAAAAAGCTATATATATATATACCTTTCAGGAACATTTTAAAATTCATTACAAGAAACCGGTTCGGTAATTCATTTTCGTTATTAATATATATCTGTCATATTGAAATAGTGAATCCTGAGATTTATTTCTTGAAAGTAAACTACATTTTTCGAAACTTTAAATTATTATTATTATATTTTTCTTTACAAAAGGAAACTTTCAATCAAATTTAATGTCAAAATGTATTTAACGTTATAATCGTATAAAAAGTAAAAAAATATTTGTACAAGTCGTAATTACTTTTTGATACGATCGTAATATTTATCTAAAAAGAGATAAAATTGTAATTCAATATGAATTATCGAATGTAATCATTTCGATGTTAATTATTTATTTTCGTCGTTTTGTTTTATATATTTTTTGATCACTGTATCCATGAAAAGTGTGTGATTTATAGGAGCATCACTTATAAAACTACGTTCTACTAATTTTCAATTTCGATCGTACATTTTTACCTTTTTTAAATGTGCTATTATTATGAAATATTTTAATAGTGATTCCGTTTTGTTTTTTAAATTGCTTAAATTAACTTCATTTATGGGGAGGAAGTTTATCCTTATGTGTTATTTTTTTAAAAACAAGTTATAGGACAGTTTTGTGCGCAGGGGTTCTAGATGAGCACTATGTTCCTTCGCGATCGATAGAAATATTATGTGTACGTACGGTGACTCATTTAACTGATTAGATATTGTTTGAGAATAATAATACTTTTTTTTTGTATTTTTCGAATGAACGAAGTGATTAGAAATTTTTGATTAATCGATAATGAAAAAGAAGTTTTGACAAAATTTATCATTCGTATGTATACATATATATATATAAAATAAATTCCTAATCGATAATCGTAAAAATTTTGTAACACCGATTTCGAACAATATTTCTATGGATAGTAAATAAAATTGGTTGAAACATTTAGCTAATCAAAATCTATGAATAACTGATTTCCATGTGTTTTTATTTCATTTCCGCATTAGTAAGCGTTGTTAACGTGTTCCCAATCGATACATTTTTCTTAAAGGAAACGAAGAAATTGCGTGGTTCATATATAGAAGGAATAATCATGCTATATCATGCTTGTCGCGAAGGAAAACAAACTACAATGCATGGAAAAGGTGTTAAATCGATTAGTAAAAAGAAAAGAAAAAAATACTTCGAGAGTTATAATAGAAAATATTGATTTTTTAATATAAAAAAATAATAATGCGAGACAAAGACATATTTTATACATTAGCTCGATCAAAATTGTACAAAATCAATGATTTTTTATTTTTTAATTTATCAAAATTAGCTGACTGTGTGTGTGTGCATGGATGAATGGCGTGTATACAATTTTTCTTTTATTTTTATTTATTTCAGATAATTCAAAATGTATCGCTCGTTTATATTATTTATCACAGCTGTTACGGTAGTCACAGCCAAGGTAAGTTTCCTCTTGACATATTCTTATTATTTTTTCTTTTTCTTCTTAAGACGAGACGAAATTTGTAATATCATTTTTATCAACCAAATAAAATTAGGAATTAGTCGCGGTCGTTCGTTTGACGCCTCACGATCCAGCTGTAAAAAATGTTATGGGTGACATTACGATTACTCAATCTGTACCAAATGGACCGGTTAAATTGAGCGGTAAAGTAAATGGTTTAACTGCAGGACTTCATGGATTTCATGTCCATGAGAAAGGAGATCTAAAGGACGGTTGTAAGTCAACGGGTGCCCATTTTAATCCTGAAAATGTGAGTAATTTTAAGGAAAATGGAAAGTATTTAAAATAAATACGTTTATTAATGTTGCGAGCATTTATACAATTTCGTTAATTTCAATCATTTATCAATTCAACATTATTTTAATTACATTTAGAAGAAAATAATTGTCATTTTATGATTTATTTTATAATATAAATATAATTTTGAATATAAAATAAATCGTAAAATGAAGTTTTTTTTTTTAAATTTTCTTTAATTACAAAGTGCATATACATAAGTTTTAATTATATATTTAATATACATAAATGTGTATATACACGTATAGAATGTTCACGGTGCTCCAGAGGATACAATCAGACACGTTGGTGATTTGGGTAATATCGAAGCCAATGCCGAAGGAGAAGCGATTATTGATATCACCGATAAAGTTATCTCTCTTAGTGGTCCTAACAATATTTTGGGTCGGGCTATCGTAATACATTCTCAGGAAGATGATTTGGGTAAAGGCAACAGTGCTCTATCGAATTCGACAGGAAACGCAGGAGATCGTTGGGCTTGTGGAATCGTCGCTGTCCAGTAGGTTACATATATTTATATATGTTTATATGTACAAGTTTTTTTGCTTTATTATTACAGCTTGCAACAATGTGCTTTTACGAACACATCTAAATAAACATATACATACATACCTTTTCAAAGTATATCCCATTAACCTGTTATCAATCTGAACAAACATTTGCAAAATCTAATAAATATATTTGATCGATAGGATTCCTTGAAAGTACTTTGTTATATAAATTCCAGCTAAAACTGTGACAAATCATCGATCGGAATATGGCATAAGGACAACTTCCGGTACGAGAATAAAACATCGACGCACTTTTTTAGAATTAGCTTCGGGATTACTAATGCGTCTTAATTAGGATATTCTGACTTTTTATTTTTCTCGATTCGTTTATTTCTAATATATGCGTACATACGTCGATATATTTTATTTGTCTTTATATACTCAAGATAAATTCTCAATAAATAAGTAATTCTTTTTTCATATTACTCTTTTAAATGTAGACTGCTAATAGATCAAAGGTAATAGGAACGATGAATAATCTGAAATGTATGATATCACGTTGTGTATTCAGTTGGCCTTTTAGTCTGTCTCTTATCTTTATTTTAAAATAGTTTAGTATGTTTACCTTTTATATGTAAATTGGTAATACTTATAAAAATATTTCTTGTTTTTTATTGTTTCATATTTTCCCTTCATCCTATTCCCATTTTGCTTTAAGTGTCAATAATCATTTTTCTTATGTATACACGTGAATTATTAAACTAGCGCTATCAAAGAACATTCAATCTTGTGTCTATAATTCCAATTTATGTATGTACATATGTGTGTATCAATTTCTCAATGATTTTTTTTTTCTATATTTCCTCTAGTTTTCCTTTGTATATATATATCAGTGTTCAATTGCATAGTTCAGTTAAATCGTGAAAATCTTAGATTTTATCTGAAACAATTAGATGTTTTTGGGAAAAGCCTATAAAGAGAATTTTATTATGTATAGTAGTTATTTTACTATATATAGTAGTTATAGTGTATAATAGCTGAACAATGATTTAATTTTGTGCTCTAATATGCTTGCTTGAATCTTAGATGTAAAGGGTGCTTCAGTATAAGACTGTGTAACAAAATATTTCATACAAACTTGCGATAATTTCAATGTTTCTTTAAAGTTCGTTAGTTAAATAGATTAATTATTACTTTTTATTAAAATCTATTTCAAAGCACGAGTAAATGTTGCCAATTATTAACAGAAATTTTTATTTCAGATATAATAATAATAAAAATGTTTCTTCGAAAATGATTACTTTGTAAAAGAGTCGACGCGTAAGCTTACGTTAATGGAAAACATAATTATCGATCCCTTTTGCGTTTTTGCTTTCAGGTCACCGTTAGATAGTTGGTCCGGTTCAAGTTCTTGTACATCGAGCATGTTAATCATTATAACGTCTTTTATGATCGTTATTTTCCATCAATTGAAATATTAAGGATCTTCAAAATCAACTATGTTCTATCATCTACATATTACATACATAATCTAACGTATTTCACGAGTTACACCTCAGGAAGTTTGCATCGATTACGAACGGAGCAGTATTTGAAAATAAAATCGAAGAACAACGAAGATATTTATACGATAATATTAAATTTATGTTCGTCAATTTTATCTAATATTATCAATTATCATAGATTTATAACGAAATCTAATATAAATTTTAGATCATTGAATGATCTTTCGGTCTTGTAATTGACATCGTTTCTTACATATATACAGTGAGTCTTAGGAGTATTTGTACTCCCACTGTCAATTTAAAACAATCACTGTACATGTTTTCTTTTAATTTATCATATTGAAAGATTTGTAATATTTAATCTTATTATCATACGAATTACCTCAGCGTACAAAGATATAATGAATGTTGTTACTTATTTGTATTTATCTACTTATTATCATACTTAAGTATTATTTACGTAATATGTAAATGTAAGTGCATTGCACTTATTTTTATTTCGTTCGTGAAACACGTGTAATTGCTTTAAATTCAATTCTAGTATATGAGTTTAATTTATGTCAGTTGTTCCTAATGTTAGGATTGTGAAATATTACAAAACTCACTTACAATTTGCAACAACTGTTTGCTGAAGTCTACAAATAAAACGTGTTTCATTTCTTTTTAGTTGATTCTTTAATAAACAAAAATTCTTTAACTTTTTTTCCAATATGTTGTATTTATATTCTTGATTTTGCGAACGAAATTAAATATAGTCAAAAGAGAAAATACGATTAACTTTTTTCTCGTGTATATACATACTACTATGTATATATTCGAATAACTGTAAATGTACCGTTTAAGTAAATATAATAGATATTGGCCTAACATATAATTCTATATCATATTATTAGTTTAATACTTCCCTTTGTGTCATAATAAATATATTCTCTTTCTTTAACACGTTTAATATTTTTATTTTAATTATAAGTTTTACATATCGTATCACGCTTATACATATTTACAGAAACATCTATGTGAATCGATTGGTTATAGTTATAACATTTATATCGTAGTTCCATTGACCTAAATGCACATTCATTTTATCCTTCGAAGAAAATGACACGAAACGTTTCTTTAATGTATTCCATATTTTTATCAGAATTCCCTTTACAATTCTTATTAGCAAATGTTTTATAAAAATATCTGATTATTTTGAATATTACAAAATTTTTATAAAAATAAGATTGAAAAAAAATCTAACTCCGTTTTTTCTAGAATTTCCAAGTTCCAAAGGTATAACATTTCTTTCTCTTTAGATTTATAAGCGTTTCTCTATGCATACTATTCGTTAAGATGAAAGATTACTAGGAAAGAAAGAGAAAGAGTGATTTAAAAGGTTTTAAAGTTCGTCGGACTAGAAAAGTAACGATCGAACGAAACGATGTGTTTCGAGGAAGCGTCACGCGATCGACGTAGCTAACGAGGACAAAAAAACAGGACAAGAGTAATTGTCCTAAGAAATTATAATAATAATAATAATTATAATGATAATATAATAATACAAAAAATTATAAAAGAATTACAAAATTCAAAGTAACCAGATTGCAGACGAAATTACATTTTTTGACAAAGAAACAAACATTTTTCAAATTATTCTCTCGTGTTAGATCGTACATTTCTACTTTCAAGGTAAACAAAAAGGGGCTCGTTATCAGAAACTTATCAAGATAATTGCGTGGACGACAGTAAGATAATACGATAATTACATGTAGTAGGTTGGGAGTGTATGGGTCGTCGAACTTTATATATTAAATCGGACAAGTTATGGATAGATCTCACTCGTTAATAACGAATGAACTTTGACAGAGCAATTAAATTATGTGTGGAAATTAATTAAAAGATATAAGGAAATTATCTAAAAGAATTTATCTGTCATAGTTAAAAAAAATTGTGTTTCATTCTATGATCATTTATTCGAGCAACAAAATTAAAAAACTCTATATGAATTTTTTCATAATTATTTTTTTCTTATAAATGGAAACTAAATCGGAATGAATAATATGTGTGAGAACATTTTAGAAAATATTGAAATCGAGTATCGGTGACCTTGTAAAGTTGACATTTGCGAGCAACGAACTCATTCTTCTTCAATTTTTAGCAAATATTATCGTCGTAATATTGTTGTCGTTGTCGTTGTCGTATCTATGGTAACGAGGAAGAAACATAGAGTTCGTCGAGGTATGAACAACCAATAAGAAGTTGGTCCCATTTCGTTGCGTTCTCCAGTAGGTCCTCGAGCACCATGGAATAGGACCAATGGGGATGGTCGTTAGTGGCGCGCTACTTTCTTTCGAAGTTTCTCGAGGATTTCGATCGAACTCGTTGACGGCTTTTACCCCTCAGAATGTAAATTGCTTTACTGTGCACCGGTTGGTTTGCACTGGACGCGCGATTATGAAGCGTCGTTCGTAAAACTCGTTAGATACATTCAAATACTTCCGGGTAGATTTCTTTTTTACATTTATAGTAATATAAGTTTATTATTATAATTAAGAAAAATATAATAATAATCATGGAGTCCTGCGGAATGAGCTTGATTAAATATATCCTCTTCGTCTTCAATTTAATTTTCGCTGTAAGTTCGTTAAACGCTAAATACCACGATTTATTCAATTTGATTTTTTTCCTCTTTCTCGACTAATATCTTCTTTAGATCTCCGGTATTGGAATAATTGTTGCTGGTGCTCTCGTTCTTGGAGATGTCGGTGAATTTAGTCATTTCGTCGAAGGAAGGATAATGGCACCTCCCATTGTCCTCATAGTCGCTGGTGTCATAGTTTTTATTATCGCTTTCCTTGGGTGCTATGGTGCGATCAAAGAACATTATAACATGCTGATAGCAGTAAGAATTATTCTTTTTTATACTTTTTCTAATATTTTCGTGTAATTTATGATCTTTCGTTTGGTACGTAATAATATAAAAATGATGTTATACGTTTTTTTCCTTTTTTTTTGTTTTTTTTTGTTGAATGAATTCCTTTTATTATTCGTCGATAATGATTAACTTTTGATTTTATCTTCATTTTCCAGTTCGCAGCTGCGCTCTTGATCATTTTCGTGATCGAACTTGCAGTTGGTATCGCAGCGGCAGTCTTTAAAAATGATTTCAGTATGGCGATGAAGGATACGTTAAAGGAATCGATGAGGAATTATACCGACGAAGACAAGTTTGCTTGGGATAATGTGCAAAACAAGGTCAGTAGATTCGAATCTGGAACACGACGAACAAATGATTGCTTTGTCGATGGAGAAATGTTAAAGCGCTATTAAATCGATATTGTTTTTAAATTCCGAATGGAAATAATGAAAATATATTGCTTACATAATTCAGTTTCTATGTTCTAACAAATCTCGAAATATATTATAATATGAATTTTACATTTTTCACGATATACGGAACGATAGTATTTAAATATTTAAAAATAAAATCAACTTGGTGATACTATTGGTGTATAATATGTATAATATTAATTTCCTTGTATATATGTAAAACTGTGTAAGATTTTAAGTAACACTTATGGTATATTGATTTTTGCAAGCGTATCAGTAGATATTTTATTAAACGTTGTTATGGTTGTGATCAGCAAGTATTATTTTTTATATTTAGAAATTTTATATCTGATTAATTTCGTGTGTCTTTTTAAAATTATCTATACAATATAAAAATGATTTGATTATAGTTGATGTGCTGCGGGGTAGACGGGCCTAACGATTGGAGTTCGACCAATGCTTACATTGGGACTTTGCCACCTTCCTGTTGCATGAAAATGCAAAATCCTTGCGCTATTGGTAGTCCAGATGTTAACAAGGAAGGTTGCTTCGATAAATTAAAAATGCGTGTTCAAAACGGAGCTACTATATTGATCGGTGTAGGAATCGGTATTGCCTTTGTAGAGGTTAGTACGATCAATAATATTAATTATTATTAATTTTGTACGCGCGTGTATGTGAATGAACAATTACTTAATATAATTATGAATAAAAATAAAGGAATATGTTTTCTTTGTTTCAGGTCGCTGGTATAATACTTGCTTGTTGTCTAGCTATGGCCATAAAAAGAGAGACCGATAAATGAAACGCGGTCGTTTAACTTTTCTTACGAATATTTTAGTTAGATTATTTATATATGATTTACATTTGATTACATGAGCTGGTCTTCGTAATTAACGTAGTAATCGAAACTGTTAGAGCATTGCTTCCTCATATGAAATAATTTATAATAAAAAATATATATTTAATCGATTGATCATTATTTTTTACGAATTTAACAGTAAAGATGATAAGAAAGATTTATTACATTATCATGTAGCTTTGTAACGTGTGTGAAAGTACATATACATGCACTTATTATAATAAATAAATCTTAATCTCCTTTTTAATAAATGCACTTATATAATATGTACGTAAAAACAGGACATATGTATTTATAAATATTTGCACATTTATAATTATTTATTATTATAAAAGTAACATCCGTGTAATACAATTAAAAATTACATATCTATATCTTAGAATGTAATTAATAAAATATTTATGCATATGAACGATAGGTCCTTTTTCTGCAGGTTTTTAAACATAATGTGTGTGTGTGTGTGTGAGTAATATTAAAATTAATTAAAGTTAATTAAAGTTATTTTAAGTTTTAGGAACCTATGGAGATACGAAAATTAAGATTAAACCGGTGACTGTTGTTAAATTATTTTCGTTAACTGGCTGAACAGAATCGTAGACAGCAGAATTATTGTTTCAGACCGTATTGTGTTCTTCTTGGGGTGTATCGGCTTCTTCTTGGGGTGCATTGGCTTCTTCTTGGGATGCATTGGCTTCTTCTTGAGGTGCATTGGCTTCTTCTTGGGGTGCATTGGCTTNGGCTTCTTCTTGGGGTGCATTGGCTTCTTCTTGGGATGCATTGGCTTCTTCTTGAGGTGCATTGGCTTCTTCTTGGGGTGCATTGGCTTTTTCTTGGGTTGTATTCGCTTCTTCTTGAACTGTATTGTTATTCTCTTGGATTGTAAGGTTCTCCGATATTGTAACATGTCGTGTTTGTTGGGCTGGATTAATATTTTCGTTAGTTACATAAGCATTGTAATAGTCATAATTAAAATTTTGGAGTGTATTATTTCCTGATAGGATTGTATTAGTGTCTGTCATATAAGCATGTCGACTTGGTTGGTTTGCTAAAAGACTTGGCATATTAATTCTTGGTAACGTAAGAAATGATGTTTTTCTAGCTTTTTTCACTTGTCGTAATAGGTACCAGTAGAAATATCCAGAAAATAATGCGAGCACCTTAAATACATATATATATATTTACTACTAATTAAAATTTCATTATAGCGTATAAAAAAATGTTTAAGTTTCGATAGAAGATTTTTGATTATATTTTATGGGTATATAATATACACACTTACCAAACAAACATTTAAAATTATAATAGTATCGACTGTAGCTTGATAAGTAACATGCAATATATTGAAGATTACATCAAAGCAACCGTTTTTATGTAAAGCTGGATCATCATCTTTACAAATAGTCATATTGTTGCAGCAAGATCCTGGAATAACATTGTGGTAGGTTATCCAATCAGTGTAATGAAGAACTCCGCAGCAAGAGAGCTGTAAATGAATAAAAAGAATTCTTTATTGTTATTAATGGTTTATAAATAAATTTCATGGAAATTTAATTAAGCTATGCTTGAAAAGATCAACTTCACAAGCAAAAAATTTATTTATTATTCTTGAAAAATACAAAAATAAATCCTCCCCGGCGGGGAATCGAACCCCGGTCTCCCACGTGACAGGCGGGGATACTAACCACTATACTACCGAGGACTTGGTTGTGTTTACGAATGTATTTATCATATATAAATACTCTTTTAAAAATATTTATGTACAAGAAAATAATTTATTATTACTTAGATTTTTATTTTTATATTTACTGATACTTTTTTAGAATACAAATCTCATATTTTCGAAGTACTGAGAACAAAATATCAAGATGATGTAAGCTATATTTAATTATTGATGCTGAAGAAATATGTAGAATTTTTGCTATAATAATAATTATTTAGTCATATTAAAATAGACAAAAATTGATAGAACATTAATTTTTAAAATTAAATCTGCGAAATTATTCATTATTTACATAACGCAGTTATCAATGGAGGAAAGCTACCGACAGAGAATATTTATCGGTAATTAAAAATTAATCATCAGCAGCAAATAACGGAATCTATAATATTTTTTAGTTACTTTCATTTAAAATTGATAATACGGATTTGAATACCATAAGATTTTATCATAGAGAGATTTCGACTTGTTATAATTGATAAATTAATATTAAATAACTTACTTCTCTTTGCATGAAATGAAACTGGAAATTTTCAAATGGATCTATTCTTAGCGCATCGTATAAAATATTAGTAAGCTGTTGTTCAGATAAATAATTTTTTACTCTAAAACATATTGCGTATCCATCGATAATAAAAAATGTTACTATAAAAAGACCCATACTCTAGAAAAAAGAAGAACAATGAAAATCATTTAATTTTCTATTCTAGTGACGTTCAATATCGTAATCTTGGATATTAAATAAATTTCTTACGGTTATTAGCCCTGATTTAGAATATTGGAAGCCTGAAATTAATGCAAGACTAGCACTTGTTATCGCCAAGACTGAAGCCCAAAACAAAACAATGTAATCTGTTTTAAGAAAGGACATTAATATATTTATATCCACTAATGCGTGAAATGCTATTGCTAGGGATTGTATACACATCATTATTCCTAAAACCTGAAAAAAATATAATGATAACAATATTGCATTAACGAAGTATGTTTTTTTTATTTATGAAAGATTAACACATTATTTTAATTTGGTGTTACTTACCACTACTGCATTAATGGCCGTAAAGAACAAAATTGTGATGAACGAATCCAAACATGGATATCGTTTAGGAAGATGTAATAATATTTTTCTATCGTTTTTCCACATTTTTAGCTTATTTTCTTTTTAAATAATAGCAAACAATTTCTTAATATTCTAATCTTTTCGTTAAGTTAATAAAGTATCTCCTTATTAACTCCTATCGTTAACGATTGCTTCCGTAGTAATAACTCGACATTCGTTCTTGCTCATATCAGTTAGTATCATTTTCTCGGTTACATTTCTTGGAAAAATATATCAAAGATATGTTTTAACCTTTTTCCTTTTTCTTTTCTTTTGCTTTATTTTTCTTCTTTGAGGGAGGTATTCTTGAATTCCTTGCTATTTTGTACATCTTTTTATAGATTGGAATTGTTTATTCGATCAAGTTAATAGTTGATTACACACATAGTATAAAAAATGACAATGTATGCATAGAAAGATGTTAATAATTTTTTATTACTGTTAACAATAACTAGTACGATGAAGAAAGAAAAATAATAGAATCAAGATAATTAAATGATAAGGATGTGATGTTTGTGATAACATTGCATTTATACCACTTTCCGTAATAGATAAATTTACTTAACGAACCTTAAATTTAAAAATGCTATTTTTGTGTTCGTTCTTCCCGGTATCTTGCCCTTGGTGTTATCAGTAATATATATACGGATAAATAGATTATTATATTGTTGTAGTATATATACACTACACGAATAATTATTTGTATTGGTATCGATGAAAATAACTATTACTTTATCATTAAACAATTATTTCAACTTTATTAGTAATATTGACGGTGTTTTATCGATTTGGCCCTACAGCAGAAAAGAGGTTGAATCTATTGAAAAAAAAAGATATATAGATAATGATGTTTATATATCATAGTAATTAGCTACAATTAAAATATGAGATTTCTGAAGTTTAAATTAAAGCTGTTAATCATTATTTTTAAACGCGTACGTCAGTGAAATTATTTTTATATTTATATATTTCTTTTTAAATTGTACGTGTTAGAATAGTATATATTTATATCTGCCATCTATTGGACGTATATCAAAATAAGATAATCTACTTTACCGATATGTAGAATTATACTTCGAAGAATTTGTACAAAAACTTCAATTTCAAAAAGATTATTTTTTAGAAAATATTTAATAAGATGTATATTAAACGTTTAAGTATTAATAAATAAAAATTATATAATTAATTATATAAATAAAGAGAATTCTAAATTATTTCTTTACATCAACAGTCATCAAGGTTCCGTGGTGTAGCGGTTATCACGTCTGCTTTACACGCAGAAGGTCGCCAGTTCGATCCCGGCCGGAACCAGTCTTCTTTTTTTTTTTTCTTTCTGTTAATATTTATGATGTAAAGTATAAACAAGTAAAAGAAGGAATGTAACAAACACAAAGTTGCATATTGAACAATTTAACTTTGATAATTTACTTTATTCGCTTACTTTATGGAACACATTGAGTCTTCCCATTTGGAAACCTAAATGAGGTATTAAACTTATTACATTCTCGAGTAGTTATGATTATGTTAACAATGTTTTCTTTAATACATGCAGGAGTATATGTCGAATAACAAATGATATCCTGAATTCATTTATTCATTTCTTATGGTATTCTTATATTTGCTGTTTTATCATTTATATATATTTTGTTGTTTAAAAAACGTATAATCATAAAAAATAATAATTCTTATTAATTCATAATTTGTGATATTGATAAAATAAAACTTGTTATTTACCGAGACGCAGAAAGAGTGGGAATAAAGTTAAAAAGAAGAGAAAAGGAAATCGCGATTGGTATTCGATTCGCGTGCTCACATTCGTCTTGTCTTACCTTTACGTTCGACCGCTTGAAGAGTGAACCGCTTGGAAGCAATGCGAGCAAAGGGAATTTTCTTTCATCCGTTCGTTTCTCCGTTCATTCACTGTTCCTCTCCTTACATACATACTCCGAGCCACCTGGCTCTCCACCTGCATCTCCGTTCTTTCGATTCCTCACGTTTCTTTCCGACTGGTAACGAGAATGGATCCGGTTTTTAATCGCAATTCGCAATTCTACTGTTTCTTCCTCGCTCGGTATTTTATCGCATAACGACAAGATACTCGAGAAAAGCATGGAGATTTATGAAAGAGAGAAGAGACAGGAAGCGATACGCTGGATAACAAAACTACGTTCAATGAATGACGAGGCGAACGGATAAATTCGATAAATTATTTTTCAGGTGAAACTTCTTGTTAAAAATTTTATGAAACGATATGGAAAAAGAGGGAATATGGAAGGAGTGAGATAGAACCCACACTCGATCGACATTATGGAAATGATGAAAATTATGGAAGGTTCTAATTTTTGTAGTGTGGTGTGTATATGTATGCATATTTATGAGAGATACGTCGATCGATAGTTATTGCGAGATGCATTTGTTTATAGAATATTGAGCAGGGACAGACATACCTTGAGAGTGTTCGATATACCGTAAATGATTGTTAATTAATCGAAGGAAATTTATATTGTAGTTTAAAAACACGGAATATAAATTCGACATATCGTACTATTCGAAATTCATCTGATTCGACTGTATCATTGTCCTCTATGGAAGTCGATCAAATTTATTTTATTGATTGTTGTTGATATGAATTTCCGATAGACAAAACAAACTCTATTAGAATTTAATCGATTAATAATTTTAAGAATTACCATAGATACCATAGGAGAAATGACTTTTCGAGAGAAACGCCTTTTAAAGTACTGACGGAACACGAAAAGCTATGAGCGCTCATAATTCTCAAAATTAATGTGGATAGTAGAATAATTATTCGGGCAAAATACGTTAAGAAGAATAAAGAAAATGGCTATGAATGGAACTAAATCGAATTTATTCGATCAGGTAAATAAGAAAAACTTTCTTAAAAGAATGGCAGATATAGGGAAAATTAGATGGAAAAGTTGGTTTCTTCGAAGAAATTTGTATTCTTTGAAATAGAGGAAGTATTCGACGGTATGCACTTAACACGCTTAATAAATCTTCAGAGTGAAGAAAGGTAGGTCAAGTGTCATGAGAATGCCCTCTAGGATGCCTTTTCATTCGAGCACCCTCGAATACCTTATCTCTTGGCGAGATGTCTAGTGAACCACGTGACTTTTCTACCCTTCTCTCTTTTTCTATTTCGTGAAATACGTATACGTAGGCCCGGTATTAAAAGAAACTCGGTAGAAAGTCTTTATGGGATCCGAAGGCAATGCATACATGTACTTATACTACATCTTACGTATACACCAACTCGTCGTAGGCTATTGCAAAAGGCTTCAACCATCTAACAAGCAACTCATTGTACCGAAGTTTACGATCAACGAAACGTACCGGTGTGTAAAAATGTTTTTCATACATTACGTACACATCGCTATGATCGCGCGGAATTACAACGCTCAGGTTGTCTACAATTTTTACGATCCTTTTTTCTGCTCTTTTCCCTTTTTTATTGTTTAATTTCTTCCTTTACGTTATATTACTTTTAACATTTGTTCCCTCTAAGATATTCCAGTAATATTATATCATGCAGCATTTGGTTACGGTACTGTTGTAAGAAAGTAATGTTTATTATAACAAACAAGTAAAACAGGAAATAAATCGATTTTATGATAGGGACGTACAAAAAAATGATTGATCTTCCGATGAATTCGTAGTAGGTGAGTCATTACGAATGATATTTCGGATGTATATTTTTAGTTTTCAGAGAAATGTCTTCACATTCAATGCTATGATCTTATTTTATAAATATGTTTTCTACTCGAATATATAAATAATTCCATTAAGAAAAAATTGCGATTGCAGGTTTACGAATGCAATAACGTCATAAAAGAATAGGTAAATACTTCGGTAAATTATCTAATATTATTTTATATTGCTCCTTTGTTTTCTATTTTCACGTAGACAAGACTCATAAATTGGTTTTACTGCTATATTTATATTACATAACGGATATGGTGAAAAACCAATGTTAAAATTTTGCAAAAGAACTTTTCACTTCTGAAAAACGCATATTGGAATTGTTTTCTCACTGACCCAAAGTTAAATCGAATCTAATCATCGATACTAATTCGATTCAAAGAGAATCGCGCAATGGATAGGTAAACAATTAGATGTTCAAATTATAATTCATTTTTTGTTGAATGATGAACAGCACAGTATGTCGGTCAGATCCACCTGCTTCCTATCGTCCGCATGGCAACTCCGATTTCGCTCTGTACACTAACCGAAGGAAAAATCGATTCTCCTGCACGCGATCGTAGCCGAATAACGCCGAAGCTGGCACAGCTGTACTTGTACATGACGAACTCGTAAAACGAATACAAACGGGTTACAAGTAAAATCATAATGGATTTCAACGACTATAACAATTAATATTACACGATTTATTCGAATTAGTAAACTAGTAAATTTTGACATTTTTTATATAAAAAGTAATATTATTTATTTGAATATAAAATACTACAAAGGTGTTACGGTTAACAAAAGACTCTAGTGTTATTTGTTTAAGAATAAAATATGATAGATATTCAAAATGTTTTGAGTAAAATATGCATAATATTTTTTTACAATTTCTTTTTATTCAGAGATAAAAATACTAAATATATAAACAACAAAATATTAGCGTTATTTATTCGAACAGAAACGACGTTATAATAGTCGAGTATCTCGTTTTTATTTCTTAATTGATAATTATTTTACATTAATGATAAATTATGATAATTTAGGAGTAATACTTAAATGGTACGTAAGTTTATTTCTTGAAAAATAATATAAATTACTTTGATATTGTTAAAAAACAGGAATGACTTTATAGGCTATTTATCCTTCACTATATTATTTATTTCAGTTAAAAATAAAAAGACGTTAATAATGATATATATGATCCTTTTTTATCATCGACCCTTGTTGATTGGTTCATGGCAACCCTCTTGTGTTCGTAAACGCGTAAACATATGGCTATGCATTCTCTGTATGTATGTGTTATTATGTTAATATATTGTACATGCGTTAAGCATATATAGAGAAATATACCGTATGAATAATAATCGTGAATGACTTTCTATACTATTTGAATGGAAACTTTTCATTAATAAATAGACAGTGGGAAAAAAAAAGACATTCTTACAGTTGCAATGGAATATAAAAAATGAGAGGTACGAGTAAGGGAAGGTAAACAAAATCGAGCGCGAGACGCACCTGAAGTCGGTCGGGTGTATTATGTTGACGTTGATGGCCGCGACGCGGCGTTGTATGCGCGCGCCTATCGCAGTGGGGATGACCGGGAAGTGGGGTACCGCGTGTTTCCCATCTCTGTCTCGTTAGTTTAGCTCGAGTTCGGCGCGCGGCCGGTTCGTTCTTGTCGCGCGCGGGCGCGCCTATACTTTTTCTTTCATGAGATCGAAACGTAACCAACGTCATACTATCGATAATCTTAGCCGGCTAAAAGTGTTGAAGAAATTTCACGGTAATAGTCGGGTTTTTTTAACTCGGCATTGTGTATTTACACATTGAGACATTCAGAGCGGGTTGGTATTTCGAACGAACTTCAATCGCCATTTTTTCTTCGTTCTCTCTCTCGAGCCGAGTCGCATCTTTCTCTTTCTTTCTTTCTTTCTTTCTTTCGTTCTTTCTCTCGCTCTCTCTCTCTCTCTCTCTCTTTTTCTCTTGACTTGGTGTTCGGGCAACGAACTCCCGTCGTATTTTTTTTCAAAGATATCACGAACACTTTTCTTCGTGTTCTTCTTCTTCTTTTTCTTCCTCTTCTTCCTCTTCCTCTTTTTCTTCTTCCTCCTTCTTCATCTCCCTCTACCATCGGCTTCTTCCGTTTTGGCCACGTACCAAAAAGCGCTTGGCAGCATCGGCGAACGTCATCGAACGTCTTCGTCGTTGCATTCGGCGACTGCATCGCATCCCGAACGATACCCGCATTATCCGAGTATATGTATTATAGATACATAAATGTATTAGATATTTTGTTCATCTTACATCTCCTCTTATTCCTCGAAACGCTCGATAGAAGTTTACTTTTTCCTTAAACGACGTTGACGTTCTTCTTGGTGCGTTCCACAACGGTCATAAGTGCGTTTCCGTGAACATTGCACTTGTTACATCGTTTACAGTAGTGACAGTGAACTTCTCCTTCTCTTTCTCTCTTTCTTTTATCTTTATTTTTGCAAATATATAGAATCAAGAATACAATTACTCTGTCGGTAATTATTTTATTCAATATCGAACTTGTCGCACGACAAAAAAGTCGATCGAATAAACTTGCTCGTTTTAGATGAACTGAAATGAAGGAAATGAATTCTAAGACTTAATTTGATTGGATCGCGAATCGCGATTAAGCCGCGCGATATTTTCTCATTAGTCGGCAAATTCAGAATTAGAGGATGAAAATAATACTTTTTTCGTATCATTGGTCTATCAAAAGGAAACGCATTTAAGTATTACATATATGTGTTTCCTCTCCTACTCTCTTTCAATGGTTGAGTTAAAGCACGCGCGAGTAGTTAATTAGTTATCGTCTTAATTAGACCGGTTTGGTGATTTATCGTTCGAATTGTCGATTGAGGCTTTCGGTGATTGGTTTCAGTGTTCTCTTGATTAGTTAGCAGTTTATTTTGAGTTTAATTAAAAGAAAAGGGTTTAACATAGGTAAAATATGAAACAGGGTAAATGGAAAGTAAAGGTTTTTTATGTTATTGCGTCATTCTATGGCGCATCCTCGTCGTATAGCGTTCAGTTTGATCGATAAAGTTTCGCGTTCTTTCGACTTGCGATAGATAATATGCGTGGTTGGATTGAAAAGTCTTGAGCTTCTAGAACCAATTTTTCTTTTGGTCAAAGTCGCTTTTATTTAAAAAAAACAAAATATATAAATGTATTTTTTGTTGATGAAAATTTAAAGTTCGTCAATCCACTCTCGCATATTTTTCTCATATACGCGTTTATATAAATTTGATTACAAGTAGAAATTAAGAAAGAAAAAACAGTATAAGAGTCTCTTGAATTAAAGAGAAAAAAAAGGAAAGACTGGGAAAGGACATTAGAAGGGCAAACAGCCCTTAAAGACTTAAAAGACATGACGCAACTTGAGTGTCGTCGATAAACAGAAGAACGTATTCCGGGTGCTTGTGTGGTCCCATTTGTGAGATTGGTGAGAATCCTTGGTGACTGTGGTTAACGCGCGTATACTACACTTCTTTACCAAGACCAATCGGAAAAGTCTCAACGCCTGCACTCACATCAGTGTCAAAGTTTCGTATCAAAGAAGAAGGGTTACTCATGTTGGGAGTGCTTAAGCGGCGCTGGAAGCCTTCGAAAAGGTGAGTACTTTTTTTTCTTCCATTTTCATTACTATGATAATATATTCATGTTTTCATTAGAATTACTAATTTAAAAGTTTTATATTTATTTCCGATAAGAAATAATTATTATTTCAATTAAATCATTTGGATATTATTAAGTTGCCCAATAATGAATTTCAAGATTGTTCAGCCTCCGGAATTCTTTGAAAATTTAAAAAATAATCTCTTAGAAACTTTGAGAATCTATGAAACCTTCTAAATACCTCAAAGAATAGGGGAGAATCTTTAAAAAATCAACTAATAATATCGAAATTTGTAATGATATTTTGAAATATGTTGAACAATTCTGAGTCTTACACAGTAATGATTTATTTTTCGATCAAACTCTCTTTTATTTTTCAAAATAAAAGTTACTTTTTTCGTCGAGGGACAGAACTCTACAACCCACAACCCTCTTATAAATAATACTTGTATCTTCTATAGATCGCGCGTAAAGAGTAACACCTTGCAATCAAAATTTCTTCCGTGCCATTTTTTTTCGTCCTTTTTTCCTCTTACATCGTTCTCGCCCACGTATACAATGCCATTTTCTGTAACTTTACTTCCGTCCGATCAGACGACAAAGTGGGCGAACCTAACCTAACCTAAAATCTTTCGAGTGTCGTCCCACTCGCCGGTTCATAACCGCTGACATTATTCCGACGAATTATTATTCGTCGTTGAGGAAATCCTATTGTTAAGATTCCAAATTCTCTTTCCTATATTTCTTTTTTCTATTTTTTTTTCTTCTACTATATTTTACAGATACATTTATTTTACCTCGTTTACTATTTCTTTTCGAAATTTTTTATCAATCTTCAGTTATATTTATTTCGCAATTAATTTTTGTTTCCTTCGATATATATATTTATGTAATAATACTTTGTTTGATGTTTCAATTTTTTGGTATAATAAATTTACTTGCATACGTTTTTATATTTCTATACAATATATGCATCTGTGCGTTTTAATCGTCGAGACCCAAATGTTAGCGTGTCGCGGACATGACCTTCACCACGCGATCGATAGAGAACTTTCAGCATGTTCTATATACGAAAAACATTAGAAAGAATTTATCTTCTTTCAAATGCTATTCGCATACTGAGATACCAACATATCCGACAGACGATTTTTATCGAATTAACGAAATTACAAGTTTTATATCAAAGGATTAATGTGACTTTATTTACAATTAAAGAAGCATAGCAAAATATTCATATGCAGATATACATATACCAATCATTTAAATTAAAAAATACTTACAATCAAATACAAATAATATTGGATCAAATAAATAGAATATTTTTATTCGTGAATTGAATTATATGATTTCAAATAAAAAAAATAATGGATGAACATTTTATATTTAGAAGTTAAATAAAATACAAATCACGGAGAAAATGACCTGCTAATATCGGATATAAGTGGAGATATTTTTCGAATACCGGTATGACTTTACGTATTTCAGTTTTTTAATAACGGTATAAAAGTACAAGCGAAAAAAATGTATAGCACCGGTATTAAACCGGTATTATATCGGTATTTTATGTTTCGGTTCAGAAATCTCTGATTAAAAGCGATATTAACGAAGGTTCGGGTAACACAAAAGGTCTTGGAGTATAAACTAAAAATAAAATCCACTTGAGAGAGAGAGAGAGAGAGAGAGAGAGAGAGATGGAGAGGGKGGAGAGGGGGGGGGGATACATATACATGATAATACTGGTCGGAAACAGGGGGTTAAATCGGGCATCGCACGCAGTAGTTCGCGAATTCGTGGCAATAAAATACGAAGCGGCGTTATGCTCCGACTAATTTACTAATTGGAGGACACTGAAGTGACCGCGGCGGGGTAGAGAAAGGGGGTTGAAAGCGAAGCAAATTGGGCTAACACATAGTAGACGTATTTATAGGAACGGTCGCGAAGCGTCGTAAGAGAAGAAGAGAGAGAGTTCGAGGGTGAAGGCCTGCACCATCTCACCCTCGGGATATCGACTCGACGTTCGAGCAACGCGTTCTTCTAACGAGTTCTTAACGACCTTTCTAAATGCAGTTTCTAGCCACGTAATCCAGATGCACCATTTCGAGCCCTTAACCCTGAAACGGAAACAACAGCTGCTGTTTAAAAACTTTGTTTTCCTTAGTATTAGAAAGTATTAGAATTATCATCATCGACTCGATATATATTTTCATTCATCTGATCAAATGTTTTTAGCTATCGATTGTAAATGTTTTCTTTTTTTTTGTTTTTTGTTTCTTTTCAAATAAATGATTAGTATAGAATTTAATATAATGAATATTTTTATCGGACATAAATAATTATTATTCAATCGCATTTTTTTTGTGTGCCTTTATTGATTGTCAGATCTTATGTTAATATTTAGAATTTATTTGGAATACTGACAAAAATTGATTATATTTACGAATATAAGTATCATTATTCCATCTTACGTGGAAATAATTGAGCCTAACGTAATTATAATTTTGGTTTCGATCAAACTTTTCCTTTTTCGAAGCTCAACATTTTTCAATCCATCCTTGAATACATAAATAAAAATGAAAAAAAAAAGAAAGGAATAAAAAGTACAAAACTAGAGTTGTTAGTTTTCGTATAATATAAAAGAGTCGACCAACAATCTAATAAATGTTAATTTGATAAAAGAAAAATAGGGAAGGGTTGTATATTGAAATCGAATGGAATTCGCTGACTCTTTGACCTGCTTTCGTCGAGTGTATCGTATTTCTACATTGCACGAGACTCTTGTCAATTAAAAAAGAAGACACCAATGTGATATTCACCTAGGATTCGTAGTTAACTTTAACGCTTACGGTTTCCATCGGTATCTCGTCTATCCTATCGAAATATACTAGTTTTCTATTCTAGCTCGAACGTGACCGTTTTCTCTCTCACTCTCTCTCTCTCTCTCTTTCTCTTTTTTTATTTTTTCGTTTTCTCTCTCTCCTTCTATCTATCTTTCTTTTTCTCATGGACCGAGTCAAGCATACCTATTGACCTCCGATTCCACCCACGATTAACCACCATCGCCGGTATCGCCATCGCGAGAAGAGAAAAGCCGAATGGAAGAAGAACTCTTTTCTCTGTTGAAAGAAGATTTACGTCGTATAAACTAATACCACTTCGACTATTTATCAATTAAAGGTGATAGTAGCTATTGATAGATATAGTAGTAGAGCCTCTTATACGTTTCACGTTTTACAAATTTAAGTTTTACATGGGATTTTATTCGGAGAAAGTTAAATTTACATAAAATATGTTTTTTTTTTTGAATAAAGAAAGATCGTCTTTCTTTAAATAATTGATCAATGTTTTTTAATGAAAATAATTCTGTATAAAAGTAAGCATAGAACTAACTGCTTTACAATATGCATTCTGAACAGAAGCCCTTCCTAATTGCACAAGTGCTAATGAAAAAGTGTAATTTTCGAGTCGATTCAAAAATGCATACGTTTTTATGGCACAAATGAGTGGTTTTTTCTTTCAGCAATTTTTTATTCGCGTTACATTTGCTTTGCAGGAGTATCACGTTATAAGAGGTTCTTCTGTATTACATGTTCTGCTCATTTAATTGATTTTTTTTTAATAGTTTATTTTTATTCGATCTAACTAGAAAAAAAAAGATTACATTATGAATTTTAACGCAATTTAATAACCAATTAAAACTATAGCAATGTATTCGACAAAATGTATAATTAATTTCATAAATATTATATATATAAAACAAAAATGTTTACTCGTGTCCAATAATTAATACGATTAATTTCCATAAAATGTTGACTAGTATCTTTAATTTGTATATTCTAAATTACATTTCTTTCCTCCCAGTTTAACTAGAAAAGTCATAAATATTAAAGGGAGGCGGAGTTGAAGAAGAAAGAAAAAAAACATCATTGTAGTCGTAATAGAAACTTTCGTCACCTCGTTTCATTTAGGTAAGATTACGAATAAAAATAAATTATTCTAGCAATCTGATATAAGTTATGAAAATACATTGCAGTAAGTTATCGGTCGCAAAACACTTTAACATCATACTCGTCGTTCTTCGCTCTACTTTAGTTTACATCTATCGGTCTCTTGGAAGATTTACATGTCGTATGCGTGTATTATACGGACGTGGTACATCGTCGTTTCGTACGTCGCCAAGAAGTTATTCTCGTAACGGGTTAACTTAGAAATCTTATGAGTCCAGCAAAGCCGGACCACTCCTCGAAATCTTTACTCTTACGTTATCGACATGCCTAACCTACGCATCTAATGTTTTTTTTTTTATTTCAAAAATCCTTACTTTTTTCTTTTTTTCTTTTTTTTTTTTTTTATAAATTATTAGACTACTCGAAATGTGGAAAAGAAATATTTTTTTTATTGGATAAGTAAAACAGAAATATCATACATACATACACATATAGGTATATATATATATATATATATATATATATATATATATATATATACACATAAATGCATGCAAGAATTTTCTATAAGTACTCGAGTAACATTTTGTATGTATGTATGTGAACGAACACGAACTGTGAGAGTAATCTTGGCCAAGAGGAAGTTATTTTTGTCGACGTCAATTTGTGTATCTAAAATGCATATGTAGATAGAAGTATGCATACGTATTTATGCATACGTGTGTATATACATACTTATACTTTTTTTTCTCGTTAATGGAACAAACTGTAAATAATAATAAAGCTTAAATATACGTAAGGTCTATTTGCTTGTTTGAATATTAAATAATAATAGGGAAAATTTACGTCCTGTTTGGTATAACGAAGGTGGAAAATAGTGAATAGTGTAATGAAGGAATTATGAAACGCTAATTAGAAATAATATAAAAATATATAAAATTAATCTTCTTTTTTTTTTTTTTTATAGAGAGAAATAAGATCGAGAATATTTTATTCTTTTCTAAGTACAACATCTTTGATAACACAATTTGATCTTTGAATGTCTTCATCAG